TGCTATATATGTGTAGTCCAAAAGACCTGTGAATTTTGAAATGAAGAGAACAAAAGAAGCTATGTGGTAGGAATGGCATGAGAAAATATCAAGGGTAGGCATCGTTGGGCACTTACAACTTCATTACATGGGTGACTGCAAGCGTCATAGGACATTTGCAGTACAGCTGATCTATGGAGCCTCATGTTGCTTATCACATGACACACACTCACTTCCGGCGGGGCTCCGTAGAACAACTGTGGTGCAAGCGTCCTATGACACTTCAATCACAACACAGGAGGTTTCCCATGCTCCATAGGGAACAATGGGGCCAGACCAGGGAGAAGCCACATAGGTTTCCCCATGTGTGATGGGGAAGAATCGCTGTGGGCAAGGCAGGGGGCAGGGCACTGGGATTCCTTGTTGGTCCATGGATTTACCACAAAGGCTGGCAAATTGCCCCACTGCCCCTCATCAAAGTGATGCCATCCTAATGGATCCATGAAGAAGTACCCCCTTCCCTTATTTTCTCACAACCTTCCAATGTGCTTATTCAACCACTTTTTGCACTGGTTCAGTGTAGAGTCTAATGATCTCATTACACAGGTCACCATAATCACCATGCATTGTGGTGATTTCGGTGGTGCCTGTCAGGGGGGGAAAGAAGCTGTTGCTCTATGCCCCACATTGCCTGACTTGTCTAAGTCCCCATCCCATAGGGAGAAGTGTTGACTGCTCTACTCCTTCCATTGTTCCTGGTGCAACATGGGAAGCCTTCTGTGTTGCCACCACAGCAGCATGCTCCACTTCAAATTCCCTTTATGCACGGAGCCCTGCTGGAAAGTAGCTGGGTGTCATGGAATGGGGTCCTGTGAGATCTGTGCTTAAAGGGAAGGTGAAGTGGAGCATGTTGCTGAATTTACCCCCCACCACACCCCACCCCACCCCACCCCCCCACCGTCTGATGAGGTTGTTACTGTAGTACAGCAAACACTAATCCCCTCTTGGCAGTTCTTGAATCTACACCAGTACTTCATTGTTTACCTGAGCATTGAATTCACTACTTTCCTGTCAAGCCGAACTTTCTCAAAGACAACTACGGTCTTCTTACAAGTCTTTGCCCTCCACTTTAAATATAAGGAGCCTTTCTGTTCACCATTGCTTTGGCTTATTAAACTTGAGCCCTGCTATTCCCAGTTGCTGAGGCCAGTTTCACCTTTTATCCTGGGGTCTGTAAAACCGTTCTGGCTTTTGTCTTCCTTGCTTGTTTTTGCCCTCCCTTAAGTCTCTCTTGCAAGATAGCTAGCTACAGCTTTACCCAGCTGCTGTTGATTTCCCTTCTCAGGTGGAATGCTTTTGATCTTTACTAGATTTCCCTTCCCTGCCATAGAAGGTTTCCTGATCTTTCCAGTTCTCCTCAGGTGCATCTGCAAGCCTTACCTTCATCTTCTTACACCCAGACTAGGATGGTGTAAGAAGATGAAGGAATACTGGAGACATTTGTTCACTGTCTGCCTCTCAGAGAAGCAAGTAACAAAAATAGCCAAGAGAAACCAGTGAAGAAACTGCACTAGGAGCTGCCCATGTGGAAATGCTTATCCTCTTTTATTAAAGAACAAAAAAATAATAATTCCCTATCAACAATAGTCTTTTTAAATCTAACAATTTTCTGTTTCACAGAAAAACAGTGCCAATAAATCAGAGTGCATGCCTACCTATTCAGAAGTGAAGTCCCAGGATGCCCAACAAACTTACACCCAGGTAATTCTGTATAGGAGCAGAGGGAAACTAAAGTGGTCCTTGGGGGTCCTGAAGCCAAGTTGTGGTCGGGGGGGGGGGGTTTAAGTGTTCAAACACCCTGAAATGCTTCAGGTTTTTTTTTAAAAAAATTTGGTTTACTCATGCATTTTAATTGGTTAACCAATTCATGAGTGAACCAGAGCTTTTTTAAAACCTGAAACATTTGGGGGGGGGGGTTGAACTCTTAACCACAACCCCCTCTGGCTTCAAGCCTGTCTGAAGCAGACTCTTTCCATTCAAATACAGCTTCTTCCCCAAGCTCTTGTCCTCAGTGAGGGAATTCTCACTGCCCCACTCACATTTTACTGACTTTGTTCCAAAGAGAGATGCATTGGGAAGCAACCAAAAAAAGGACTTTTCAAGTGCAGAGAATTTGATACACAATTCCATGTCTCTTTCTGCACTGAGAAATTGAAAATCTGCATTGCAGATGGCTTTAGACAGGCAGACACTCAGGATACACACTGACTTTGGTCAGTGTGTGTCCTCATCAACCCCATGGTGGCTAAACACTGCAAGGAAATAATTCTCCTTAATGTGACCTTGCTCTGGGTTAATCTAAGGTGAGGGAAAGTTTGAATCCTGACTCAAAATTTGGACTTTCTCGCAACTTAGGGGCTGTGAAGAGGTTGGGTTGGTTCCTAATTGGATCTATCTGCAATTGTCTACCATCCTATGTTTCCCGGGTTCAGCTGGTTCAGGGACTCAGATTTTCCTTTTGTTCCCACATATCATTGCTGTCCCCAGCAACAGCATGCCAACTATGTTACTATGTATTGTCGAAGGCTTTCATGGCTGGAATCACTGGGTTGTTGTACGTTTTTTCAGGCTATATGGCCATGGTCTAGGAGAGAATGTCTCTAGACCATGGCCATAAAACCCGAAAAAACATACAACAACCCAACTATGTTACTCTTTGTGCTTTGTCTGATGTCAGAGACAGTATTTGCGCTTCCCACCTCCTACCTCCCACCACCCTTAGTGTGGTGGTATTCTCTGCCTGATATCAGACTGAGTGCCATGGACAAGGTAGATGATCTGTCACAGCAGGGAACATGGGTGGAGGGAGAACCCCTAGGGTAGCTGCTCAGAGGCTCTGAACCAAGTTTGGTGGGACTGAGCAGTAGGGATTCTCCACTTTATCTGAGGTAGTTGAGGGAGTCCCTGTAAGGACACCATGTGGGCCCAATCCAGCATCTGGGATACCAAATCAGGTCTACTGTCAGTGCAAAAGGGCCTTACTCCTCAATATACTCCAGACTTTTGGCATAGTCCTGAAAGATGCTTTCTCCTAGTGAAACAAGAACACTTTGACTCTAGCCATTGTTAGTTTCTACAGAAACCAATCTTGCAATATTAGCTTAGTCACCACTTGTACTGTTTGTTCAGCAGAAGGCTTGCTCCACACTAGATAGAAAACTAGATTTCTCTAACATACCATACACTATTCTCTTGTTTCTTGTTCATTTGAATCAATCTGGAATCCTCTTTATGTTAAACCAAATTCTCAGAAAATCACGTATTGAGAAAAAGGAATTTTTGCCAAGAATTTGAGTTATTTTCCAAAAATCCGAATCAGCAGTGCATAACCCAAGCTTCACAGAAATGAATGATTTTGCAATTACAATACAAGACAGGAGTTTCTGGTTTCTGCAGGGAAAGCTTTTAAAATATGTAATACATGTGGTACAAAAGTACAAAGGATCAATAGAACTAATTCAGTAAGTGAGAGAAAATTTGTAAGTTTTGGAGGGGAAATGACAGCAATTTTTAAAATAATATTTATCAGTAAGGTAGAATGGCATCCCTGTTTTTCCTTCCAGGTGCCACCATGTCTTAGGCCAGCACAGTCCATAGTATTACATTGTTCCAAGAATTTCCAAACATGTGGATTTGGCAGCCATATGGACCATGAAGGAATGTAACTGCAGCCAGAACCTGGAGTGTTCGTGAAGAGTTGGGCAACTGCAGTGTGTCTGGGAGCCAGTTTTCTGCCCCAGGGACCTAAGGGCTGCAAATTCCAATGAGCAAAATAAATCTGGAAGTGAGTAATCCACTTCTGTTTTTCAAACTTGGTGTTTTGGATGTTCCATTATGCTGGGGGTGCTTGCAACCTACTGAAAAGGTGAACTGCTATGCCTGAAGGTTTTTAGTTGGGGAATTCACTATTTTTGGCCAGAAAAAAGGGAGGGGGGTTGGGAGAATGTGAAAGGACTTTGGACTGTAAATAGCAGCATTGAAGGACTATATGCAATCCCGGTACTATTTTACCCCACTCCATAGAACAACTACAGTGTGCCCTTGCTACTTTGTGGTTTGCTTTTAGTGGATTCACTGTTTTGTGGGTTTTTGGAAATATTAATAAAATATTAAATATTTACATCCAGGGGAGGCCAGGGACCCCAGAAGTGTGGCGGCCTGAGACACAGCAGGGAAGGCCTGTCTCCCTGGCCTCCACAGACCCCGGAAGTGCAGTGGCCTGAGGCACAGCGGGAAAGGCCTGCCTCCCTGGCCTGCTGCTGTCTGCGTGGCTCCAGAGGCCCTGGGAAGGCCAGAGAGGCAGGCAGGTACCCTTAACTTATTTGTTAAGTTGATTTAAGCTGGGAAGAAAAACAAACCATTACTGATTGGGTTGTAGTATAACCAAAGATAATCCAATACAGTGGACATGTGGATAAGATAGGACACTCCCCTTTGCGCCAATGTCACTTTGGGGTAGGAGAAAATGTGTGGCTGTCAGTGCAGATTAGGTTCAGAGTATAAGGGTAGGAGATGTGATGCTAGCAGGGGTCAAACCAAAAGATACTTACACATCAGAACTAAATTATTTTGCAGGTATGGATGTGTTCATAGCCAAAGAATACATTTTATTTACCATAAACCAAAGAGCATTTTAGTTGGATCGATTTTTGCAGTCACAAAAAGCTCTTTCCCACCCTACTCATTGTGCAAGTAATCAAACAACCATTTTCATTTTCAATTTAACAATCAATTACACAATTAAGACCTTTCACCAACATGACCATGAAGCATTTTCTGCACTTTGGAACACACCCATCTCTTTGTAAGCGGATTCACTGAATGCAAATGCTGGTCAGCACCCTTCAGTGCATCTCAGGTTTAGACATGGTATCACTATAGCAACAAGGTGGCATGGAGGCAAGAAGAATATTGGTTGGCTGACATCTTTGAAGAAGATCAATAACATGGTATGAACAAACTGGAAAAGATGGTATTTATTTAAAAATTCAATATATCACAAAAAATTAACTTTATACATTAAGCGGAGCTTATGTCCACTCTGACCTGTGTAATAAATGAAAAGAGAAGGCACGAATGTCAGGGCAAGCTGAGCTCTTATAACTCCTCTCCTTCCTTGATTCCATGTCTTAGTTCAGGGAAGATAATGTAGTGTCATACAGATGTTCTGAACTACAACTCTCTTAAGCCTTGGCTACTATGATCAGTATCCAGGAAACTTGAGAGGTTAGTCCAAAGCACCTTGAGGGTGGTAAATTACTATCTTTGGCCACCCTGGATATAATACAACAGCTTGATGGACTCAGTCAGTATGGGAAATAGTTCTTAGATAGGACTACTTTCCAAGCCATCTGACTCTTAACAGTTTTCATTCATCATTCTCAGAGAACTGATGTTTCTCAAGAGGTCTGGCTGCCTTTTCCCCCCAACCTAGCCATTGAGAGAAAGGAGAACATCAACAACATGTCAGCTTCCTGGACGTGTCAGGAGAGTTGTGGAATACAGAAGTGGGGGCCCAAAGGGACCTCATGGTCGTATCATGGCTGGGGCCTCTGTCATAGTCCTCTGAGATCTTTTCGCAGTGAATGTCTGCTGGAGAGATGAGTAGGCTGAACTGAGTCTTTTAACACTGATTAGATGCTTGGTCACCAGAAGCGCTGCTTATTCTCCATTTACCAACAAAGTCATGTCCAGTTAGCTGGACTACAAACTGTGGAAGCTGATAATGCCAGTTTTATGTTCAGATGCTATAATGAAATGGTTCCCTTATTGTAAAAAAAAAAATAATAATAAAAGAAGGAGAAGCCACAAGGGCAAAGTACTGTTGAGTAAATACAGGCATGGTACAAAATGGCATTCCAGCTGGATCTTGCAATGCAGAGCTACACGTGTTTAGCAGTTTTTTCTTGTACATTGTATTCCTTCTTTTTTGTCAGCTTCCAGCTGATCAAGGATAACATCAGAATCCCAAAAAGTTTGTAACCGACTTGTAAACCTAAGTACCTGCCAAGGAAAAAAGAAGGAAATAAACTAATTGGCATGGTAAATTATAACAGAACAGATGTTGAGTGCAAATATAAAGTCAGTTTGTTCAGAAGAGTATCAACAGAAACAAACCATGTTTTCAGGAGTGAGATTGAGATTGTAATAGGATCTAGGACCTCATCACATGGACAAAAAGCCTCATTTTAGGGCAATGCCAAGACACAGCCAGGACAGAGCCCCACTAGAAGTAGTAGTGTGTTGTGTTACGGGAGCCAGAGGGTTCCGTGATTAAAAGGGTGGCAAAGTGGAGCATGCCACCAATTCTTCCCCTGTGTGATGAGGTTGTCATTGAGTAAGCGGCGGACAGAGCAGGACCAAGCTGGGTACAGACAGGAAACAGGATGTGACGGTAAGGGGGGGGCATGCATGGTGCTGCTCAATTGCTTCCCATGCTGCTCCACAGATTTGCCCCACTGCCCGACAGATTCCCACACTGTCCCCAGATTAAGGACCTCCATGTGATGAGGTCCTTAGAAGATTGACTAGCTGGAGAGTTTATAGAGTTTATATCTCCCAACTTTTCTTCATTAAGCTGAAGGTGGCAGTCATGGCTGACTCTTCACATCAATCATGTGAGGAAGGACAGGTTGAGAATGTGACTGGTTCAAGGCCACCATTTATATTTCATGTCTCAGAGGAGACAAGAACCTGGATCTCCCACAGTTCAGCACTCTAGCAATTACACCACACAGTGTCTCACTGCCTGGCTTCAATTGGCTTTGACTGGCTTCTCCCTTACCCCCTCATCTTGAGATAACCACTGATAATTCTTGGAGTCCACAAAACCTAAGGAAGAGGACCTTGATTTCTGCTGTGGAAAGGGTTTGGGCTGGGAAAAGAGCCTTACTTAAAGGTGAGCTTGGTGATATGAATCTCTTGTTGCAAGAAAGTTCACAAAGAGAGGGCCCTTCACCCTACATAATTAGAGCATTTTGATTCTACAGCCATGGTTTCATCCTATGGCATCTTGGGATTAGCATTTTAGGGAAGAGTGTTTAGAACCCTCTGTCAGAGTCCTCACCTAGTCCTTCACCAAACTACAATACAATAGGATGGAACCATGGCAGTTAAAGAGCAATCAGTGTTAAGGTAAAGGTAAAGATTTCCCCCTGGCATTAAGTCTAATTGTGCCCGACTCTGGTGGGTTGTGCTTATCTCCATTTCTCAGTCAAAGAGCTGGCATTGTCCATAGACACATCCTAGGTCATGTGGCCAGCATGACTGCATGGAGCGCAGTTACCTTCCCACTGCAGCGGTACCTATTGATCTACTCACATTTGCATATTTTTGAACTGCTAGGTTGGCAGAAGCTGGAGCTAACAGCAGGAGCTCATGCTGCTCCCTGGATTCAAATAGCTGACTTTCAGTCAGCAAGTTCAGCAGCTCAACAGTTTAATTCACTGCACCACCATGGGCTCCACAATCAGTGTTATAGTTGCATAAAATGAAACTATAAAATAAAACTTTGTGGAACCACTAGGATATTTGCATCTGGGGGGAAAAGCAGGAATAATTACAAGATCTCAGATACACCTATTCCTTACCTTGGAGTGGCAGCTTACAAATCAGTTTTGGAAACTATTCTATTTTGGGAAGGACAGCTTTTTACCCTCTCCTGAAACTGAGTCTATGGGCCACCACTGCTGAAGCCATTCCATATCTGTTTTGCTAAGCTTCCCTTTGAGAGAATGAACATGGACTCCATCAATGACAACTGTGCAGAACATGATTAAAAAATGAGAAGCTGAAGCAAGTGCCTGTCTAGATTGGCTAGATCGGCATCTGCAACTTTCAAGAGGCAAAGAAAAAAGGCTGCGTCTGTATGGGAGCAACCCAAATAAACCCAGAGAGCCACAGTTCAAGAATGGGGGTGGGGGAGGATTTATCTTTGGCTGTGGGAAAGATAAAGACGAAACTGTTTTGGGAGGGGCTGTCCAGGTGAAGTGCACGTCATCCCTTTTTTTGGGGGTGTGTTTGAATTGCTTAAGCAGACTTACACACACAGTACCCTGCAGCAGGTGCCTCCTACAATAAAGCCAAGGGCATTTGGGAAATGAGTGGAAAATCAAGTGGCCACATAGGACCACCAACATCATTGCCACAGCTGCAGGTGTTTTGTGTTTTTCTTGATCCTGAGTAAATGCATATGCATATACAGATTGGGATATGAATGTGACCAACAAAAACAGGTGTTACTGATCAGATTTTCAGGAGCCTTATGTACTTTAGCTGAAGAAACGCCTTGACTTAACACAAATTTTATAGATGGGTTACCTGCTGCGGAGGAAGTTGTTGTCATAGTAAAAACAGTATCCACCCTTCTGGTTGCACCTTTTATTCCACCAGATGCATGAGGTGTCTATGAGAAATCCAAAGAGGGCAGGAGCTGGCAACCAGGCTTTGGAAGAGAGAAAAACAAAGAAGTGAGGCTTCAAAGCACACTTTACATTTTGTACACTCAGCTTTGGGTACACAGAAACTTCACAGAGTCAAGTCTGATATGGAACTTCCTTTCCTGGTCTTTGTCCTTGAGGAAATACAGCTGAGCTGAGGTTAGGGACAGACTGTGGATGCGAAGCAGCAAATGCAAAAAGCCAGCTCTCTTAGGCAATGTAGAAATAGTTCATATTTAGGAACTGTGACTTCCTAAATAAAACTGTGACTTATGTTTTCTTTAGAACATATATCTACACTACTACCCTTTATAAATAATTGTGCACATCATGTTTTATTTAAATTGCAGCTTGGCAAACTAAGTCACTCTCCTGCCTCAAATATACAATAGCTCTTTTTCCCCCTGAGGCCAGTGGCAACATCTAAGTCCCAAAGCATTCTCAACAGCATAATTGGGAACACAAAGGTATCAAAGTGCCTCCCTTTTCTTACCCTTCCAGTGGCACTGAGATCTTGAACGAACTCTGCTCCTTTGCTTGTGTACTATCTTAAGTACTTTCTGGAAATGCATTTTTTTTCAAGGTGTCAAAACAAGGACATAAAAACTTAAGTGGCTGGGAAAATTGCCTTTCCAGGCACATGGAAGTGGCGGGAAATGGGTACAATTCACATTGTAATTTAAACAATGCAGTTTTACACTTTTGCCAATTTTGTGATGACATCCACAAGTAAAAATGTATATAAAAGCATATGTAGTAGCTCAAACAAGAGCACAGAAATACATTATACTAGAGGAAAACACATGCACAATGAAAAGTGTGCATTAGGAAGAATGCCTAAAAATGTAAACTTTAAGAGACATGTGCAAGTCAGAATGAACTTAATGCTGGAAAAAAAATGAGAACATGAGCACAACGGATCTGGTCTGATTTGTCCATCCCTAAACACAAGTAAATGCGCTGAGGACCATAGTTCCAGGCTGGCACTCACCAATCAATCTCATCAACAAGAACTGAACCCCAATGGCAAACGACTTTTCTTCATAGGCCACCACCCTGTGTGGGGGAAAGACACAATGTTTCATATACACAAAACTCAAAGTCTCTGCAAAAAAGAGTCCTGCCTATAGCTTGTGTGTCTGTTATATGTAAAAAATGAGGTTTAAAGGTGAAACTTTTTATTTAATGTAGTTAAGCTGAAAAGAGCCTATACTGGGTTCATAAAGCAGATCCTTCACGATGGTACTACGAATGAAAGCATAAGTATGTGAGCTTTGTCAGAATGTGTAACTCAGCATTTCTTTAAGTACTAAGAGAATCAATGTCTCAGGATTAACCAGAGGTGTCACTGTAATGGGGTAGCAGAGTGCTGAGGCTATTGCATATAAGTTTATTTATTTATTTATTTATTTATTTATTTAGGGCTTTTATAACCTGTCCTATCTCAACCTCTGCAGAGGGACTCAGGATGGCTAACAAATTGGCACCCCATGGTGCCCACATCAAAACATAAATACGCAATTTAACAGCAATATAATAATAACAATATAAAACAGTATAAGCAATATAAAACAGTATAAAAACAACAATCAGTCAGCGGTCACTGGTTTAAATCATCATACAAGAGCAGTCCACCAGTTCTATATAAATCAACACATCAGCAAGTCAGCCTAATCTACAAAGGCCTGATCCCATAACCAGGATTTTACTTGTTTCCGGAAGATCAAGAGGGATGTAGAGGATCTAATTTCACTTGGGCGGGAGTTCCACAGCTGGGGGCCACCGCAGAAAAGGCCCTGTCCCCTGTCCCTGCTAGACGCAATTGCGCTAATGGGGGAACAATGAGCAGGGTCTCCCCAGATGATCTTAGGGCCCTAGGTGGATCGTATCGGGAGATACATTCGGTCAAGTAAGAACCGTTCAGGGCTTTATAGGTGAAAGCAAGCACTTTGAATTGTGTTCAGAAGCTGATAGGCAGCCAGTGGAGCTGGCGTAACAAGGGTGTTGTGTGCTCCCTGTATCCAGCCCCAGTGAGCAACCTGGCTGCCATTGGACTAGTTGAAGCTTCCGGGCAGTCTTCAGAGGCAAACCCACATAGAGTGCATTTTAGTAGTCTATTTGGGATGTAACAAGAGCCTATTTGGGATGTAACCACCGTGTCTAAGTCAGGCTTCCCAAGGTATGGGCACAGCTGGTGCACAAGTTTTAACTGTGCAAAAGCTCTCCCAGCCACCATGCCCTGTTCAGCCTTCCAACTGACCAGTACGACCTCTTGTCTGGATTAAGTACTGAACCCTGTGGGACTCCACAGTACAATGGCTGTGGGGTCGAGGGGGTGTCCCCTAGCAACACCTTCTGAGAACGACCCTCAAGGAAAGACCTGAGCCACTGTAAAACAGTACCTCCAAGGCCCATTCCTGCGAGGGAACTCAATGAGGGTTGGAGGTTGGTGTTTGAATATAGGAGAGAGATATTGTACATACTGTAAATACTTTGTTAGCATTTGTACTATTTGTACAATTACTGCAACTTAAGAAAAAAAAAGCCCTCCAGTTGGATCAAACAGCTTTGTGTTTGTGTTGTTCTTATTCTTTAGTGCACTTCACCGCAGGAATGCATTTGGCTACCAAATGCATTCTACCATGCAACAGGGAATTTCATGCTGATTTGGACCCCTGACAAGCTTAAGGGGCAGTCAAGGCTTGCCAATATAAGGATATGTCATAATTAATAACATTAATTATGACACATCCATATTCTGGACAAAGAAGCACATTTTTACAAAGTTTTTGTTGCCCACTCAGTGCCTCACTCATCCTTCTCATCCTCTACCTAGCTGGGTATTATTTTAACAACACTGGAACTGGAATAATGGAGAAGGAGAACTGGAGAAATACAGACTTTCAGAGTCACAGCGCAGCAGCAAGTCTGTAGTAAATAATACAGAAAAGCTTAAGCTGGTGTGGTGTTTTACTCTAGAGAATTCTACCATAGCTGTGTCTACATCAGCAGATGCCTCCAGAATCCCTTACTATACATGTGTGAAAAGCAAAACAGAAATAAAAGAGGAAAACATAAGCCTGCCTCACCAACAATAAAAAATATAGATGTGTAAGTCTGGTCAACAAAATGGAAACTTTAAGAAATGTAGAGTCTGGTTAAAGAAAAAAAATGTCTATGTATTTTGGAAAAGGTTTTACAGTCAGCTTTAGAAAACTTTAACTGCTTTTTTATGCAAGGATTAACAGACATGGATGTTTCATTTCATATATGCATTAGAGTTTGAAACAATATGAACACACATAACAAACAACACATTGTTAGGTTGTTGTAGGTTTTTGGGCTGTATGGCCATGTTCTAGAAACATTCTCTCCTGATGTTTCATTGTTAGTTTTTGGATAATAACTTTGTTAAAGTGTATATTACATATTTCTGCCTCTGGTAATAAATTTTCTGTTCTAAGAAGTAATGCCCAGGAAGACATTTCCTGTGTGAACTGAGGTGTACTTGTACCTTCATATTCAGTATGATGAACACTAGCCCTGGAGCAGGAAAAGATAAAGTGCCATTCTGCAGTTGCATCCTGTTCCCAAGGCAGTTTATATGGCCCTCAGCCCTTGCCTTCTCCCTGCCCCCCTCCCAATCCATGTGTGGCAATTCCCCCTTTAAATAGGTTGCATTTAGAAGCGGAGTGGGCAGATCAAAAGACAACCTGGCAAAATGGCACTACCTAGAAGAACCCTCCACCTTGTGTGACTGTGGAGCAGAACAAACAACTCTGCATATGTATGCTTGCCCACAATGCCCTGCCTCATGCACAGAGGAAGAACTGTTTAAAGCTACAGACAATGTGGTCGCTATTGCCTGTTTTTGTCATAAATTATTTAACCACTGCTTCCCTCTATTTTTCTAAGTTTTATACTTATTTACGCAATGCTTTTGACACAAATAATAAGTTGCACTCCTTGCCATTGTACTGTTTATAATAAAAATAGTTTTTTTCCAAACCAGAAGTGATTGTCTATCACTCTGGAGTATTTTTAATGACAGTCCATGCAGATCCCAATGGGCACTGTGGCCAGAAAATGATCCCTTAGACTAGATGCATTTGCCCATCCTGCCCCAGGCCCTCCTTACCGTAACACCATCATGTACATAGGGTTGTGTGAGAGACTGGCAATTAATACAGCAATTGAGATGATAAAGATGACAGGAAGCAGCAGGTGGGCACAGCTCAGCGGACAGGATCCAGTCGTTGCTGAGGACTGTCCATCCTTGGCATCAATACAGGAGCAGTTTGTGTAGATCTAATTGGAGAAGAACAGCAAGCCTATCTCAAGACCACAGCTCATAAATTGAACATATTCCTTACAAGAAAGGTTCACATCTGGCATTCCCATTTAAAAGGATCAGGAAGCAGGTTATACGAAACACCTCTCTCTGAATCTCATCAATGTACCCACAGCCCTCCAGATGATGTTCGACTTCAAGGCAGAAAAAGGAAAATGTTACCAATTTGATTTTAAAATTTCTGGTCCAACATCTCTGAAACCTTAGAACAAATGTCAATAATGTAAATGCAGGCTCAACCAGTTCAACATTAGTCTATAGCTGCTTCTGAAACTTTAACAACAACAATAGGCATGAATTCTGCTTACAGAGTTACTTTAAGGCAGGGGCAAGTGACTGAAAAAGAGCAGAGTCTGATTTTCACTCCTGCATACCCCATGAACTACATTTTTATATTTTCAGCTAAATATGATCCAGAGTTGATCATAAGTCCCTTTCTGCTCCCACTTCCTGATTCTGGGGGGCTGTTTTTGAGCAAGAAAAATTATTTGAGGGCCAGGAAAAGGAATATCTAAAGAGAACACAATTCCTTAGTGATTTGGGTTATTTTTACAACAGTCAAAAAGATTTGTAGGGCATTCTCCCCTGTATAAGTTAATTTGGGAGGAACTGCAGACTTGGTGGTTATAAAAATGTGACAGGAAGTATATCTGGCTAATGGGCTTGCATTGCTACCACCTACCTTTGTAGAGAGTGGACTTCAGATTGACTTCTCCTTAAGAGATATTGGACATGAGCAATTGGCTATTCACTGGGCATGAACTGCGTTTGAGAGACAATATAGAACCAGAGAGTCCTGGCTTTGTGAAACTATAGCCTGGTACAATTCACACTCTAGTTCTCAGACTGTGCTCCTCCAGGTGTTGTGGGCTTCAGCTCCCAGAAATCCCAGCCAGCTCACCAGCTGTTAGGAATTGTGGGAGTTGAAGCCCAAAACATCTGGAAGAGCACAGTTTGAGAAACTCTACTCTAGTTAATAGAGTCTATTAGTCATCCCAAATGGCAAAGTTGTCAGACTCATCTTTCCCTTCAGATTTAATAGAGGCCTAGAGAGTGAACTGGGCACCACTTGCCTACCAAGAATATATTCTCCAGTTGAGTAGTTGGGATAGTCATTACTAGCAGTAAACAGAAACAAATACAGAATGTGATGTTGAGCCCACATCCATATTCCCAGCTCTTTTGCCAAATTGAAAACTCTTTAAACAGGATCTCATAAAGATAATCTAGCAGCCATTAAAAACTACAGGGATTCCTTCTAGCCCCAAAAGCTCCCAATGATGATACTTACCATAGCCCTTGAACTGGAAGAATTAGAGAGAAAACCAGTGCAACCAGCGTGACAAGGGGAGAGGTACTCCACACCATCATCACCACAGACGGGATGAAAGAGATACTCTGAGCAGGAGCAGTGTTGGCTGCACTGATCCTTCCCTTGGGAACTTGAGGTCAAAAAGAGAAAGAGAGAGAGAGAAAATCAGGTGAAATTAGGCAATATGGATGAAATATGCTTTCTTTACTGTGCTGGGTGATTAACTTCAGATCCCCAATCTATTATTGTTAGTTCCTTGCCATCCTGAAATCTAGTTTACTGCACGTCCAAGGTGTGGCTTTTCTGTGAAATGGGTCATAATTGTTACACATACACGCAAACAAAACACTCCCTACTCCTAGCAGAAAGCCATTTGATGTTTTGAGTAATCCACTTGAGAGAAAATTTTCATCTGAAATTACAGAGTGCCTCAGGTGCCATGAAAATAAACACCAGTCTAAAGTGAACTGTAAGTAAAATGGGAAACATTATAGGCTCAGCCTATGGCTAAGACCACAATAGGTCAGCATGGAATAATTACTCTATTTACTCATGTATAATGCTCACCTTTTTTGGCTTAATTATTTCACCAAAATTAGGGTGTGAATTAAATTCACATAATATAGTAAATCTTAGCGCTGAGCCAAAGCCAAAGGGGAAGCTGCTTTAGGAGCACCTGGAGCTCCTATCTGAGGAATGTTATCTCTAATTAAATGGCCAGGCTCAATGCTATGCTATGCTCAGATTTGTAGTTTGGTGGGGCATTAGCATCTTGTTAAATGACAGCTCCATTTTTCAATACCATTATTTATTAATTTATTTATTATATCAGAAGCAAACCAAAGGAACAGCTGAAATGTATTTAAAAAACACAAAGTTTAAAAAACTTGGCATTATATTAAATGTCCTTTGACCAGAAGCTGGACACTTGGAGTGCCTTTGGTGTTGCTATAAGGAGGTCCTCCACTGTGCATGTGGCAGGGCTCAGACTGCATTGTAATAGGTGGTCTGTGGTTTGCTCTTCTCCATACTCGTATGTTGTGGACTCCACTTTGTGGCCCTATTCCTTAAGGTTGGCTTTGCATCTCGTGGTGCCAGAGCGCAGTCTGTTCAGCGCCTTCCAAGTCGCCCAGTTTTCTGTGTACCCAGGAGGGAGTCTCTCATTTGGTTTCAGTCAGTGGCTTGAGGTTCCGGGTTTTAGCCTGCCACTGTGGACTCTCACTTGCTGAGGTGTTCCTGCGATTATCTCTGTAGATCTTAGAAAACTATATCTTGATTTAAGGCATTAACGTTCAATATAATTGAACCAATGCAATTAACGAAGATTCATTCTACAGCATAGCTGCATTCCAAGGTTTTCTCTTCCATTGCTAGAAGCTTTGGTGTTCTAACACTTTTGTCTTTAAAGGGGGATTTCTAAGCATGCAACAACTATAATGCAAAGAATGCACTTTTTGCCACTGTGCATTACATTTGGCAGTAAATACTTTTGTGGGGTTTGAGGACCTCCAGACTGCGGACCTCTATCCTCAGGGGAAGTGTAATCCCATCACCACAGGCTGCCATGCTATACCCCAATCGGCTGCCCGACTGACCAGGAGGACCTCGGTCTTGTGAAGATTAAACTTCAGCTTGTTAGCTCTCATCCAGTCCATCACAGAGCCCAACACTGGTCCAGGACATGTTTGGGGAGGCTTCCTTGGAATTTGGCAGAAAAGAGTAGTGGAGTTGAATGTCATCTGGGTAGAGATGGTACTGAACAGTAAAGCTCCTGATGACCTCACCCAACAGTTTTATGTAGATGTTAAAAAGCATGGGGGATAGAATGGAATCTTGTGGGATCCCACAGGTCAGAGTCCAGGGAACCTAGCAGGAGGTCCCCAGCTTCACCGACTGTGACCCTCCAGTAAGGAGCAGAGCCACTGCAAAGCAGAGCCCCCAAGGCCCATTCTGGAGAGCCGCCCCAGAAGGATACCATGGTTGATGGTATCGAAAGCTGCTGACATATCCTAGAGAACCAACGACACACTTCCCTTGTCAAGCTCTCTGCGGAAGTCTTCCACCAAGGTGACCAAAACCGTCTGTGTACCGTGACCAGGCCTGAAACCGGACATTGATGAATCCAGATAATCAGTTTCATCCAAGAATCCTTGACACTGAGAAACCACCACTCACTCCAGGACCTTGTCCAAGAAGGGGAGATTAGAAATTGGCCAGTAATTATTCAATATTGAGGAATCAAGGGATGACTTCAGAATTGGTCTTATTATTGCCTTTTTTGGGCAAGGTGGAATTTGTCCCTGATCCAGCGAGGCATTTATAATCTTCGCAAACCACTCAACAATCCCCCACTGGCAAGTTGGATAAGCCAAGAAGGGCAAGGATCTAGTGCACATGTGGTTTCTCTCACCACTCCCAGAATCAGTAACTGTATGTATTCAACAAATCGGTGAACAATCCTTTAATTATGCTTTTCAAGACTGGCCCTGTTCTCTGGAAGAGTGAAGCAGCAACCGCAGGAAAGAGACCATAGATTTTGTGAAATGTAAGTTATTTTATAACTTGTCATTAGAATAATAGAACTGGAAGGAACTGCAAGGACCAAATAGTCCTTCTTTCTGCTATTCACAACTGAAAGATTCTTCTGAAAGATGCTCATCCAACCTTTGTCTAAAGATTTCCAAAGGGGGAGCTTCCGCCATTCACTGAGATAGTCTATTTCACCGCTACCCAACTTCCCATTGTTTAGGTGGAATCCTTGTTCTTGTAATTTGAATCCATTGTTAAATCAATTACTTCTAGCCTCCACAGCAGCAGAAAACAAGCTCAAGCTATCTTCTATCTGGCCCTTTCAGATATTTAAAATATGCCTCTAGACCATGGTCATATAGCCCGAAAGAACCTATAACAACATATCTAAAATATATTTATATTTTTTTCTTTTTATTTTGTTTAAATAATAGATATTTCATTATTGTAAATATTTCATAATAAAAATAAATATATTTATTAATATATTTGTTTAAAATAAGGGAGATGTTTATTATTTTTACAACCAAGAACAGGGAGTGGTGCTTATGGAATTTCTTATCTCCTGTGCCAAAATAACATCGCTGGCTTTGGGTATTATGCATTTTGTGGAGGGAAGGGAAACATTTGCTGTTTGGTCTCAAACAGTCCAAATATCATGGACTGGTCCCAGTGGTCGGAAACCAGATGCCTATTGAAAGCACATAAGCAGGCATTGAGGGGGAATGGCCCTACCACCTCTTTGTTGTTTCCTGGCAATTCCTAGACACTATCACAAATGCTTTGAATCATGTGGTATGGCCGATAGTTTCTAAGAATCCTATTCCTCTATGAATATGTTCTAATTTCCTACTAAAATAACCAAAACCAGAGGCTGTCACCACCTTCTTCTGCCAAGGAGTGTCGTAACTTAGATCTGAACTGCATGATATCATTTTGCTGGAGAAAATTCGATTCTAATTAGAATGCAATGGCAAACTGTTTAGCTCCATGCTGAATTTTGACCCCCCCCCCCCACTTCAAACCACCAATTAGAACTGGAATGTATTGTAGATATACAGGGTTAGTCAAAATGAATAGGCCAATAAGAAAATTAATTTTAGACGAATGTATGTTTATTGTAACCAAACTACAGCTACGTAGCGACAGATAAACTATCAAAGTTTTGTCTCACCTTCAGAGATGTTCGATATGGGCGCCCCGTGTGACACGGCAGATGTCCAAGCGATAGTCCAGTTCATTCCACATCCGTTGCAGCACATCCGACGTAATGGCATCGAATGCAGCAACGTCTGGGAAGGTGTTCGTTGAGGTCCTAACCCTAACCCTAACCCTAACCCTAACCCTAACCCTAACCCTAACCCTAACCCTAACCCTAACCCTAACCCTAACCCTATCCCTATCCCTAACCCTATCCCTAACCCTAACCCTAACCCTTGAAATTCTCGCTGGACCGTAATTACTGACATTGTTTTAGCAAATGTCATCACACAAAACGCCTTCTCTTTGCTTGATTCCGCCATTTTGAAAACAGCGACCCCTAGCGACGCCTAGCGGCATTAACGTACATGTGTGTTGCTCAAAAAAAACTTTGATAGTTTATCTGTCGCTACGTAGCTGTGGTTTGGTTACAGTAAACATACATTCATCTAAAATTAATTTTCTTATTGGCCTATTCATTTTGACTAACCCTGTACAGTGATTTTTTTTAATTCAGACAGTTATTAAATAGTGAATTTAATAATTCATATTAGGGGTATTTGAGTGTGTGGGGCCAACCTCCCCCTGTAATAATCTGAAAAATGAATAGTCTTTGTAAACCATGTTAGTGCTGCTCTTGTTTTAATGTTGATCATTAAATACTTCATTAAATAATTACTCAAATGAATTACTCGATTACAGGATTCAGAACAAAGTTTTAAAAGGGGGCTATAATTCAGAAAAGACTGCTAGGTTGGGCATGGAAATAGGTATGTCTTAACATCCGCAATTTGAAGGACAACTAATCTACGTTCTTGTTTTCTATAAAGTGTTTATGAAGAGTAAGGCATATTACCTGGGTGGATAAATGCCAGCCACTTTCTGCGTGGAACAGCCCATAAAGAAGAGAGGCAGGATGCAGAGTGTGGACACAAGGAGCACAGCAATGGAGAACCGGGGAATGGCTTTGAGGGACAAGGCAAACCGCTTCATGATGAGGCCTCCAAAGAGCATCCCAAGAGCCGCTGCCGGCAAGTTCACAGATCCTGCAAAAGGAGGAAGGGATCATGAGGCATCCATCTTCAGCTATGAGGGACAATGCTCTATAACAGCAAGCAAAACATGTTTCAGAAAGACAACAAAGTTAGTTTTAGAAATGGCCTTGGGGAAACCTTTGGCTTATTTATACAGAAAGAGGGCCACTGACTAAGGATGCTGGCCACAGCTCTGGAGGTTGCTTCACACTTGATAGAATTCCAATGTGGGGAACATTTTCCTTTTGGAAACTGCATGAATTCTATATATACACAGCCGTCAAATATTTGAAAGATCGCATCTCCATATATAAACCAACACAAGCACTGCGTTCAGCAGAGGAGATCCTTCTCTCGGCCCCACCCTGTCTCAAGCACAGCTGGTGGGAACGAGAGAAAGGGCCTTCTCCATGATCACTCCCCATTTCTGAAACTCCCTCCCTAAAGAGTTAAAAATGGCCTCCTCACTCCTTCCCTTCAAAAAGCGATTAAAAACACACTTATGCAATTTAGCTTACGGAGAGGAGGATTAAGTACATCTAGGGTTTTTTGTTTTTAGTATAGTATCCCTTATGTTATACCCACTGTATACCTTACCTACACAACTTCCCCTTCCCCACATCACTAGGATAGGGTTTTGAGACATTGATTTTAGTAACTGTGGTGGATTGGTGGGGGGCTGGAGGTGGGATGTTGATTTGTGTGAATTCTGCCCTCTTTTTATGTATGTTGAAAAATTAATAAATATTTTTTTTTAAATAAAAAGTACATCTAGTTGCACCTTCCCTGGCTGCTTGCATCCACCCAACTAAATTGCTGTTTTCCATCTCTCCCCCAACAATTTTAGCCTAATTTTAGAGATTTTAAATAGTATTTTAAAGATTTAATATGTTAGTAATTATGTGGATTATTTTATGTCTTGTTTATTTATGTCAGTTTATAATTTACTGAGTTGTTCTTGATTCATTTATTGATTCATTTACATATTACTGTCAACATTGAATGTTTGCCATGGTGTATTTTGTTCTGAGCTGCCCTGAGTCCCTTTGGGGAGACAGGGTGGGCTATAAATAAAGTTTCATTTCATACAATGGTTTAACAGGCATATGCAGTGATTCCATCTAGTTCACATGCCCTGACAAGCTGGTCATGGCCAGTCTCTAGAGCAAGGGCTGGGCAACTGTGGCTCTCCAGATTTGTACCTACAACTCTCATCAGTCTTCAGCAGCATAGATGATGGTAAGGAATTAGGGGAATTGCTTCCTAATCTGGAGAGCAACACCTGTCCATCTCGGCTCTAGGAAAAGCCTGCTGTAAAGATGTTCATTGTGCCAAGGGAGGAGAAGGCTGACTTCTTCCCATTCAGTAAAATTTTGTACCAAGTGACAAGGAGCCTGCAAGACACAGGAAGCAACATGTGTGTATATTCCAGGAAAAAAGGGAACTGATTCAGCCCCACTGCAGGGCAGTCACCCACATAGGAGATGTCAGTATCAGAGCCTTCTTGCACTGAGAGCATTTAAACACACACATTGCCCTTAAAAGAACCACAAAATTTAACCCTGACTTCTGAATAATTTTCAGTGTTCTCACTTCAGTATGACTAAAGGGCATTAGTTCATTCCACATCCTCTACAAGAAGGACAGGTATTCAAGCTTGAAAATGTTTGTGTAATGTTTGTCTAATGGCCTGCAGTTTGTGCTAACTGCAGGCCATTAGAGAAATTTAACTCAATGGCAGCAACCATTTTTAAAAAGATGTATGTTCACTTGTTAATCTGCTGCTAAATTTTGGAACATAATTACACGTCATTAGACACAAATTAGGAGCCCCCTGGTGGCGTAGTGGGTTAAATTGCTGAACTGCTAAACTTGCTAACCAAAAGGTTGCAGGTTTGAATCCGAGGAGCGGTGTGAGCTCCTGCTGTCAGCCCCAGCTTCTGCCAACATGCCAATGTGAGTAGATCAATAGGTACCACTGTGGCGGAAAGGTAACGGCGCTCCATGCAGTCATGCTGGCCACATGACCTTGGAGGTGTCTACGGACAACGCTGGCTCTTCGGCTTAGAAATGGAGATGAGCACCAACCTCCAGAGTCAGACACAACTGCACTTAATGTCAGGGGAAAAACTTTACCTTTACCTTAGACACAAATTAAGATAGTGAGCAACATTCTTTGTTGTTAGAAATCAGGGAATTAACATTAAGGTTTGCATTAAGAGATTTTGCAAAAGTAATGATTTGGGGTCACAAATTATTTCCAAGCTTTGCAGATTTCTATCTGCTTGTGATTTTTGGAGACGACTCCTATCAAGTCTTCAGGCCCAGTGATAGGAATCTCAGCCCACTAGGAAACATATTGACAGTATTAACCAACATCCGCAGCCGTAATGAATGTGTCCAAGTGCTTCATATTTGAGGAATATACTCAAATGTCTTGTCTACTAGATCATAATTTTGTTCCTAGCTCTACTTAATTCAAAGTCATTGCAATTTTCTCACCAATGAGTAAGTTAGCATAGGAAGGGGTGGCACCAAACTGTTTTTCCAGGAATTTGTTAAGGAAGGTAGAGAGGCCAGCGATAATAGAGGAGAAGCAGCACTGGGCCAGTACCACCATTATGAAAAATGGGTTGAGGAACAACTTCATGAAACCTCGAGGGAACTCTGAAAACAAACACAGGAGAGCAAGATGTTAAATTAATATGCCTGGAGAACATGGTGTAAGAAGAACAGAATTTCATGAGGCTTCCTAGTATTCCAGCTTTGCCTTGAAGGAAGAGTCACAGTCAATCATTGGCCCTAAACCTTTGAAAAAAATTATGGGCTTGGACTACAACTCCGCAAATACCCTGGCTAGAATGGTAAGCATCCATGAAGCTTGGGCAATTCTGATAAAATTAAAAGGTGATTTTTTTAGCTTCTGTGATTTGCAAGGGATGCATAAAAGTCCCGAGCAGGAGCTGGTAAATTGGTACATTGGATAGTTGGACAGATTGGGCTTTGTCATTTTATTACATATTGCAGGCAGTCCTCAAGTTACAAATATCCAACTTACGAATGACTCATTGTTAAGAATGGGGGTGAGACAACAAGAAGTGAGAGAAATCTACCCCTAGGAAGGGAAATTCACTCCTGGAAGAGTTATCATGTTTGTTTCCACAACAAGCCAAAATGTTCAAGATCATATTATCACAGGGACAGAAAATGAGCTAAAATGTTCTGAACCGAGGCACAGACAGCAAAATAAACACCACTGGGATGTTAACCCTTCCCTGTGCTATCCAAAGTGCATACACACACACACACACATACATACATACACACACACACCCATAGCCAGGATTTTGATTGGGGGGGGGGTGCTGAGTTTGATTCGGGGGTGGGGGCTGAGTCTGTGTGAGAGAGGATCTACCCTAGCAAACCTTTTGTATTGTTACCCCAATACCCATATGGGATATATGGTGATCAGATCATGATATGAATAAACATAACAGTTTAAATAATGTACCAGTAAGGTCTTCTTGCGGAACAACCCTGAGAATTTGGGGGTGGGGGGGCTGAAGCCCCTCAAGCCCCCCCCCCCCCGCCGACTACATGCCAGAATATATATACACACAAATGCATACACACACACACCTACATAAATAAAAATGTAATGTTCATTTGTGGGATTAACATAACTCAAATTCGCTGGATGAACTGACAGAAAATTTGAATAGAATACCAACACCAGAAGCGACTTGCAGTATGTTCCTAAGTCGCTTTTGGCACATTAAAAATATCTAATTTGTAGTGGAATATGTCTACCTGATCCATCATTGATGACTAATCTATATTTTTTCAAGTAAAAAGACATGAAAATTCCAATATAGTACCTGCATCATAGGAAAGCAAGGTACCCACCTCATTGCATACCCAACTCAATGATTATCACATGTATCTTGCGAAGAAAACCTGATAAGATTGTTATAAACCAGAGTCAGATTGAAGGCATATAACAACAACAATGTGTTCACCTGCATTTATCTTGCTTTTCACCTCTCGCTGTGAAGATCAAACTAAATTTGGTTCTGGCAGAGAGGAGATTAGCTGAACAAGCCCCTTTCTGGGATCAAAATCTTGCAACAGGAACCAGCAGGGAATCAGGCAGAGCAAACACTACTTTTATATGCTTAAGAAATAAAAATGACTGTGGCAGATTTATCTTTACAGTATCTGTTGTGGAAACAGATCATTATCAAGAAGTCATAAGGTTTATATTGGAGGGTTATATAAGGATTATGAAGGAGTCATAAGGATTATATTGTTATTTTCTGGAGCAATCAAAGAATGGGTTGTTGTAGGTTTTTCGGGCTGTATGGCAGCGCTGGCCAGGCTTTGTCAGGATTGGTAGATTCGTAGAATCCTAGACTCCTAGAGTTGGAAGAGACCTGGTGGGCCATCCAGTCCAACCCCTTTCTGCCAGGAAGCAGGAAAATCACCTTCAAAGCCCCCCCAAGAGATGACCATCCAGCCTCTGCTTCAAAGCCTCCAAAGAAGGAGCCTCCTTCGACAACACTCCAGGTCAGAGAGAGAGTTCCACTGCTGAACCACTCTCTCTCACGGTCAGGAAGTTCTTCCTCATGTTCAGGTGGAATCTCCTTCCTTTGAAGCCGTGGCTCCATTGCGTCCTAGTCTCCAGGGCAGCAGAAAGGAAGCCTGTTCCCTCCTCCCTAGGATTTCCCTTCATGATCCATGGCTCTCCTCATGCCTCCTCTCAGCCTTCTCTTTTGCAGGCTAAACATGCCCAGCTCTTTCAGCCACTCCTCATAGGGCTTGTTCTCCAGACCCAGGATCCTTTGAGTCTCCCTCTTCTGGACACATTCCAGCTTAGAGTCAACCTCTCCCTTCAATGGCAGTGCCCAGAATTGGACACAGTGTGATTTCTGGTGTGTTCTGACCAAAGCAGAATAGAGCATGGGGAGCAGGACTTCCCTGGATCTGGACACTAGACTCCTCTTGATGCAGGCCAAAATCCCGTTGGCTTTTTTTGCTGCCACATCATGTTCCATGTTCTCCACGAGGACTCCAAAATATTTTCCCCACGTGCTGCTGTGGAGCCAGGCATCATCTTCCCCATTTGGTCTCTTGGCATTTCCTTTTTTCTGCCTAAGTGGAACCTTCATTTGTCCCCTTTTAGGTTCACCGTGTTAGTTTTGGCTCATCATCTCTCTCATCCGTTGAGATCCCTTTGAATTCTGCTCCTTCCTTCTGGAGTCTTGGCTCTCCCTCCTAACCGAGAGGGAGAGAGCTCAAAAGTAATCACAGAATCATCGAATCATAGAGTTGGAAGAAACCTCATGAGCCATCTAGTTGAACCCCCTGTGTGGCGAGGGAAAGAGACTTTTTCCTTATTAAAAACCTCTTTGCTGCCTTATACTGATTCAGTTTCTTCTTTTATAGCAGCTGGGACTTTCTGTGTGCTTTATGTCACAGGCAATGAAACACTCTTGTGTATAACAAAGTAACACAGTTTATTTATAACTTCTGGCTCCAACGCATGTGGTTACATTTGTGTTTTGTTGCAATCTTGAAGCTTACAGTCAGTATCATTTACTTGGTTTACTTTTCTGAATAAACTTTCAATGTTTCACATTCACAAACATGTTACTTGCTTTACACACTCTTGACCGAAATTATATTCTGACTCAGGCAACACTAGCCGCCTTTATGTTCCTTAAAACTCGAGCTCTATTTAACTAACTGCTTCTCTATATCAGAAGTCTTTAACACATCTTCATAACTGCTTATTTCTAACAGGCACTCAAAAGCCAACTCTTCTCTTCACACACAGATTCCTAACTGTCATTTTCAAACTCTCTCACTCTAACTGCCTCTTTCAGAACCTTGGCTCCGCCCCTTTGGAATGTTCAGCTCTCTCACTCCAACTGTCATTTTGGCCTAGCAGCCTTTTCAAATCCTGGGCCTACGCTAATCTGCATATGACCAATCGGCTTCACATATGCAAATGAATCCTATCTCTGCTGTTGCTACCCTGTCTGTACTTATTCTTCCCTATCTGCCATATGTAAACATAGAGCTATACACCAAAACTTTAACATAGAGTAGCAATTTCACTACACCCTGCCATGCAGGAAAAGCACGATCAAAGCCCCCCCCCCCCAACAGATGGTTCTGATTAAAAGCCACCAAATAAGGAGCTTCCACCAGGCTCCTAGGCAGAGAGTTCCACTGCTGAACCACTCTCTCTCACAGCCAGGAAGTTGTTCCTCATTTTCAGGTGGGATCTCTCCTTCCTTGTCATTTGAGCCTGTGGCTTCATTTGGGTCCATGGAAAACAAGCAAACAATGCACAAGTATCTATAATGACATAGAACAGAAATATATGTATGTAAATCTAAATAGACTCTCAAGACAGTAATATACAGCAGTATTCTGTGTTCTCTATTAGTATAACTTGTCTGAGAATTTATACATAAAACAAAATTGTTATCAGCACATTATTATAGAGAAATAAACAACAGACTAAAGATAATAAAGTCCATCCTTTCAGTGAAGGAATTAAAAGGTCTCTATCTTTATCTTCAAAAGAATTCTTCTTTTGGCAAGATAGTCTCAAGGAATTCTTCTTCAGCAACACAGTCTTTCTTAGGCAACAAAATCTCAGTCTCAAGGAATTCTTCTTAGGTAACACAATCTTTCATAGGCAACAAAATCAACAAGGTCTTCCGGTTTGTTATCCTTGTTTCGAACAAATATCTTCCTCAGGGTGTAGTCTGTTATAATATTATGCTTAGTGCACTAAATAGGGAGAAGAAATAACATACACAATAGATACATGAAACTCCCAAAATAACATTGTTAGAGAAACATTTAGTAATAACAGTAAAGAAACACGCTACCCTACTTACATTCTCTTCAGCAATACAGGCTCTGTAATAGTAGGAGTTCTATAACGAGCAATGAGGTAAGGATTGGCTAACACTTAAGTAGAATTACATCTCACAAGAAACAAGTGTATTCAATTTTGTCATTTAGTCCTAGAGGAACCAGTGTTTGTAGTTTAAAGATCCAATAAGATTCCCTTTGCAGAAGGAGTTTTTTTACATCCGCATTTGGTCTGGGTAATATTTTTTCCAAAGCGCAAAATTTAAAACTATGGTGTGTGTGTGCTTTTTCATTAAAATGTACATATAGTGAAGAGTCAGTGGACCCATTCCTTATGCGTGACCGATGTTCATTTATCCTAATTTTAAGGGGTCTAGTAGTTATACCCACATATAATAATTTGCAGGGGCATTCTAATAGATATACTACATTATCACTGGAACATGTTGTCAAATGTTGTAATGTGACCTTGATATTGAGTGTAGGGTGAGAGTATATTTTACTCTTAAGTGATTGTTGGCAGCAGTTACAATGTCCACAGCTAGTGTGCCCCCTAGTGGTGGGTTCATGAGATGTATTGGAAGAGTTATATTCAGAGTGGATCATGAGGTCCCTTAAATTTCTGGATCTTTTGTGGGCAATAATAGGTTTGTCTTTGCATCCAGGAATGTCCTGTAGTAAATGCCAGTGTTTTGAAATAATCCTAGTGATTTTGGATGAATTTTGTGTCAATGTCAAGGGCCATATTATGCGGTTGTTATGTTTTCTAGGACGTTCCTGTAGTAATTCCCCTCTGTTGATGGAGTTTGCCTTGCTCATGGCTGTGTTGAGTATCCTATTAGGGTATCCTCTCTCTCTGAGTTGTTTTTTCAGGATACCTGCCGTAAATTCAAAGTCCTTTTGTGTGCTAGAATTACGTTTCAGTCTTAGAAACTGAGAAAATGGTAAATTGGATTTAAGAGAAAAGTGATGAAAGCTGGAGAAATGTAAGAAAGAATTCTTATCTGTAGGTTTACTATAATTTTTCACTAGTAGTTTCTGACCATTTTTGAAAACCATGACATCCAAAAAGTTAACATTAGTAGGGCTACAGTGGTGTGTAAATTTCATGTGTTTGTGTAATGTATTAATCCAGCTGTAGAATAGGTCAGCCGCTGACTGTGATCTCACTACTGTAAATATATCATCTAGATACCTTCCAAAATAAAGGATATCTGAAGAAAATGGATTCTTAGTAGTATTAAAGATGAATTTATTTTCTAAGTATGCAACAAATAAGTTGGCTATTGCGGGTGCTAGTGGGCTGCCCATAGCGATTCCAAATGTTTGTAAGTAAAATTGTTTATCAAAACTAAAATAGTTGTATTCTAGCACAATGTCTAGTAAATCCATGAGGAAGTGGGTGGGAGGAACTGGGGATTTGCGTGTGTCAAGTATATCTTTAACTACTGCTCTGGCCTCATCTAAAGGTATATTTGTATATAGGGCTTCAATATCTAAGGTCATGAGTATGGCTTGCTCTGGTATAGTTAGGGCTTCTATTATATTGATAAAATGTTTGGTGTCTTTGATAAATGATGTATTTAATGGTACAAAGGGTTGCAAAAAATGGTCAATAAACTGAGCTAAGGGTTCCAAAATAGATGCAGTGCCTGAAACAATAGGTCTACCTGGTGGAGGAAAGATTCTTTTATGTATCTTCGGGAGAACATAAAATACCGGTGTTCTGGGGTGTGGATTCTGAAGGAACTCATATGTCTGTAATGAAATATATCCCAGTGAGAGACCTTCAGCACATACTGTGCGTATAAGGGATCTGATTTTATTAATGGGATCCATAGGGATACATTTGTAAAACATGTTATTAGACAGATGTCTTTCCACTTCCCTGACATAGTCAATTCTGTTTAATAATACCACCGCCCCTCCCTTATCTGCTGGTTTCCAAATATATTGTGGCATGTTTGCTAGTCTTTTAATGGTATTCAATTCAGTCATAGACATATTAGGAAAGGTTTTGGACCTGGATTTAGTTAGTCTACTGATGTCTCGTTCCACCACTTTTTCAAATGTTTTAATCATCATATTATCAGTGTTAGGGTAGAATGTGTTTTTAGGTTTGAACAAGGTTTCAGGCTTGGAATTCGTCTTATTGCCAAAAAAATGTTTTAACCTAATAGTTCTAAATAACTTAAATAATTCCACCCTGGTGTGGAAAGGACTATATCTGGGGGTGGGAACAAAACTTAGTCCCTTATTAATTAATTCTTCCTCTTGAGGAGAGAGGGGGTAGTTAGAAAGATTTACCACTAGGGAGGAGCTTTTCTGTATGAACCCCTCTGAAAATGGTGAGTGGGTGGTCTGGATTTAATTCTATATGATCGTCGTGGTAGTATAGGACTAGTGGAAGTAGTAGAACTATCCGTAGATTTCCCTGGGTCTTCTTCAGTGGTGGAATAAGGGTCAAGAGAATCTGTTTCAAAGCGAACCCTCCTTTTTACTGTCCCAGAGGAAGTAGAACGGGTTTTCCAATTATAGACCTTATTATTATCATAATCAGCTCTGTCTCTATTAAACTTTTTAATTTTAAATTCCTTAATTTGTAAGTAAAGGTCTTTACATTTCTTATCAATTTCTTGTAAATGAGACTGGTTTTGTTCTACTTTATTTATTGCCCACAAAAGATCCAGAAATTTAAGGGACCTCATGATCCACTCTGAATATAACTCTTCCAGTACATCTCATGAACCCACCACTAGGGGGCACACTAGCTGTGGACATTGTAACTGCTGCCAACAATCACTTAAGAGTAAAATATACTCTCACCCTACACTCAATATCAAGGTCACATTACAACATTTGACAACATGTTCCAGTGATAATGTAGTATATCTATTAGAATGCCCCTGCAAATTATTATATGTGGGTATAACTACTAGACCCCTTAAAATTAGGATAAATGAACATCGGTCACGCATAAGGAATGGGTCCACTGACTCTTCACTATATGTACATTTTAATGAAAAAGCACATACACACCATAGTTTTAAATTTTGCGCTTTGGAAAAAATATTACCCAGACCAAATGCGGATGTAAAAAAAACTCCTTCTGCAAAGGGAATCTTATTGGATCTTTAAACTACAAACACTGGTTCCTCTAGGACTAAATGACAAAATTGAATACACTTGTTTCTTGTGAGATGTAATTCTACTTAAGTGTTAGCCAATCCTTACCTCATTGCTCGTTATAGAACTCCTACTATTACAGAGCCTGTATTGCTGAAGAGAATGTAAGTAGGGTAGCGTGTTTCTTTACTGTTATTACTAAATGTTTCTCTAACAATGTTATTTTGGGAGTTTCATGTATCTATTGTGTATGTTATTTCTTCTCCCTATTTAGTGCACTAAGCATAATATTATAACAGACTACACCCTGAGGAAGATATTTGTTCGAAACAAGGATAACAAACCGGAAGACCTTGTTGATTTTGTTGCCTATGAAAGATTGTGTTACCTAAGAAGAATTCCTTGAGACTGAGATTTTGTTGCCTAGAAAGACTGTGTTGCTTAAAGAAGAATTCCTTGAGACTATCTTGCCAAAAGAAGAATTCTTTTGAAGATAAAGATAGAGACCTTTTAATTCCTTCACTGAAAGGATGGACTTTATTATCTTTAGTCTGTTGTTTATTTCTCTATAATAATGTGCTGATAACAATTTTGTTTTATGTATAAATTCTCAGACAAGTTATACTAATAGAGAACACAGAATACTGCTGTATATTACTGTCTTGAGTGTCATCTTGGTGCACCAGTTATGATCTTTCCTGGTCCATCCACTGGTAAATTCTTGACTATTGTCATGTGGTCTACATGGGGCCGCCCTTGATGCAGACTTGGAAGTTGCAACTGGTGCAACATGCAGCTACTTGACTGCTGACTGGAATATCATATGAGCAACATATAATGCCAGTCTTAACAGAATTGAACTGGTCTGAATTCAAGTGACAGGTGATGACATTTAAAGCCCTAAATGGCTTAGGATGACAATACTTGAGGGGCAGCCTCTATCTATATGTACTTGCCCAAGGACTAAGATCTGCTTGGGACCCTTCTTTGTCTCCTATCAGTGGAATGCTTTCACTCCGGAGAGCTGACTGGCACTAACGTATTTATCATTTAGGTGGCAAGTTAAAACCTGGCTGTTTGCCAAAATCTTTGGGCTTTATTAATGCACCCCAAATACACCTGCAATAAATCTGCAAAATGATGTTCTGGGGAGAAAAAAGAGATCACAATGAGTTTTTATTCAGGCAACCCGCAGCCTAGAAAGCAGGCAAACAATAGAGATAGCTTTTTAAAAAAAGCGTAATCCAGAAGTTTCCAAGCTGGTAAAAGGATATTAAAGAGGACTTTCACTTTATACAACAGCAAATTAAGTCCTCCAAAAGAGCATTTCCATTTTAAGGTCTAATGGCTGAATGTAACTTTTGACAGAAGAAAAGTTGGGCCATTCAGAAAGGTTGCTCTAGTCTAGCACTCAAAACTCACCCTTCCTTTAAACATATATCGAGGGAAGAAGAAATAGGGAATAGAAGTGAGCAGCAAGCAGCCAGAGGAAATGAGAAGTCCCAACCACCATGCTCCAATCCAACGCTGGTCTCCGGGGAATATGTTCACATCCTCTGAAAGACACACCGGAGAGAAAACATGTTGAAAACTCTAGTGAATACACTTCCTGATAGCTAGGTTATGTTCTAGATCAGTTTTTCCCAAAGTGCACGATATTCACTGAATTAAGATAAAGAGATTATAGAGATGACATGTCCAGAATCGGTACCTAAAGCAGTGGTTCCCAACCTGTGGGTCCCCAGATGTTTTGGTCTTCAACTCCCAGAAACCCTAACAGCTGGTAGGCTTTCTGGGAGTTGTAGGTCAAAACACCTGGGGACCCAAAGCCTGAGAACCACTGACCTAAACTGAGAGAGCATGCCCCTCTGTTGAAAGCAGAGGGCCCCTTTTAAAGACAGTTTTGCATTGGGAACCATTGTAGAAAAGTCAGGGAGGGAGTGAAAGAGAGGGAAAGAGAGAATGAACTGCTTTGCATGAATAATCTGAGAATACATCACAAGCACAGCTTAGAAGTGTTCAGTGGCCATGCTGACTAGGTGTTCTGAGCATTTAGTGAGTGAAAAATCTAACCGTTTTAAATTGTGAAAGACATTCGTTGAAGTATGTTCCTAAAGTAATCTACAAACAAATTGTGTGTGTAAGGGAGGCAGCTGGGGTACCCTGTTCATCTGTACAATTATAAAGTTAATTAAGGAAACGGATCTTATTCCAGCCCTGTTTCCTTTGAGTAGCCTGCTGACTTTTGAAAATACTTAACCAGCACTAAAGTGCAAAGGGAGCCACTGGAAACATTATCTGCCCTCTTCCTGGAAAGACTCTCCTTTCCCATTGTTCCTGGGCTGGGCAAACTTCTGCTGGCTGAATGTCAGGCCTCAGCTTAGTCACTGATGCCTGTGGAGCAACGTTTTTAATGAGCCTAGTGTTTGGAGCCTCTGCTCTCCAGGGATCCTGCAGAAGAGACACCGAGTCACTCCACTTTGAGAGCGAACATCCTCCAGGCAGGAGGCCTGGTTCAAAGGATTCAGCCCTATGCTGGGTTGGCACAGAAAGTGTTTCTTCACATTGTTAAGGGGTGAAAAGGAACAAACTGCCATCTCCAATTTTTGGCAGCGAAGCCCAGACTTCCTGCCCTCCAGGATTAAAAAGCATGGAGGCAGAGGGAGCCCATGTCCCACCAAAACAATAATCTTCCCTGAACATGGCTAGCTTACTGGAGACTGACCATCATGAGGTGACCACAAAGAGGGAATGGCTCTATATACTCATGTATAAGTAGAAAGTTTGGTCAAAAAACCAACTCAAAACAGCTGGGTTGTCTTTTCCATAGTCTGTGTGAGTACTGTATCTTAACTATTATCAAAAGAGAGGGGACCATCCCCTTCGCTGAGTAGAGTGGCAAAAGCAAGAATGTAATTTGCCTTGGGGAGCCTAAAGAAGCATCAACCTCTCCTACTATCTCTGCTGTGGTGCTGTTTTTGGCCTTCCTGAATTTCTGAGCAGGAAAATGTCAGAGGGACCAGGATGCTTTCCTCTCTTTGCAGCATGATTCCCAACTTATCCAGGGATCATATACAAATCCATAATTTTGGCCCCAGAACTTGCCCTCAACTTATACATGGTTAATTTATATATGAGTATATATGGTAATGTTGCCAGTCCTAAAGGAGAGGGAGGAAATTAATGACATGTCCTGTCACAGCACAATAATTTCATTTATCTTGCAACAGATGATAACAATCATTCTGTGGTCCCACATTGGGTAGAACTATTGGAACAGAGGCCAAATCTAAAAAGAAAACCTAAGACTATGAAGAAAAGCAATATGTACATTACACATTTATGAGTGAAGGAGAAAAGAATTGGCAGAAACAGTAATCAACCTCAAGGAAAAGTCCTATGATGGAAATGGCATCAAATCTAAATCTCCTTCCCAATATTGACAGAGAATATATAATGACTGGAGAAAGAGGACAAAGAAAAGTTGGAAATGGCAGTTAATGACAGATTAGCTACATTCCAGTCCGTATGCTGGCACTGTCAAGGAGGTCAAGAAGTTAACTGCATGGGCAGAGGTCAAGACTATCATGGACATTCAACTTAACAAAATTCTGTAGAGCAGGATGGACTTTTGGCAATGGGCAGAAGGCCATACTGCACCGACGGGGGATCTTGGAAGAGCTATGCCTCTCAAAGAAGTCTAAATGCTTTGGACAGGTGGGAGCAAATTCACCATGTTTGGGTCATTTTAGCCTCTGGAGAATCAATTTCTGGGTAACCTATTATTGGCAAAAAGGCCTCTGCTGTGCCACAAACAAGACAGAGGAAAAAAATATGGTAAAATTGCTACCCACACCTGCTCAGGGGGGTTGTTGTTTTTCAGAACACCTTTCTGGGAGGAATATTTTTCAAGAATAATTGGAGGGTCATGGGGGAGCCACATGCCTCCCACCTTACATGCACCATGTCTTCAAGTCATTTACAAGCAAACATGGATTCATGTAAACTGGATCTGAATCCACACCTCTGCCCCACCCTTTCCATTCAAAAGTAGAATATCTGTTACACAAAATGAGACAACGGGATTAGTTTTGTAACAGTGTAATCAATTAAGTCACCTCCTTTGTTGTTAAAACAACAATGCAATAATAGTATCTAATTTCAACTAAATCTGCAAACTATTTGCTGCTTCAGGGTATTTATTCTGGAGAAGAAAAATGTGGCTTTTTCCTTGAAATCCCCAAAAGCTGCTGAGTTGCCAAGTGAAGAAAACTGGCCAGCCCTGTTTTTGCCTGTCATTTAGAAATATACCAAAATATGTCTTCCATGATGTTGGATTGCTGTAGCTGTTGTTGTTCATTCGTTCAGTCGTCTCCGACTCTTCGTGACCTCATGGACCAGCCCACGCCAGAGCTCCCTGTCGGCTGTCACCACCCCCAGCTCCTTCAAGGTCAGTCCAGTCACTTCAAGGATACCATCCATCCATCTTGCCCTTGGTCGGCCCCTCTTCCTTTTGCCTTCCACTTTCCCCAGCATAATTGTCTTCTCTAGGCTTTGCTGTCTCCTCATGATGTGGCCAAAGTATTTCAACTTTGTCTCTAGTATCCTTCCCTCCAGTGAGCAGCGGGCTTTATTTCCTGGAGGATGGACTGGTTGGATCTTCTCGCAGTCCAAGGCACTCTCAGAACTTTCCTCCAACACCACAGTTCAAAAGCATCTATCTTCCTTCGCTCAGCCTTCCCTAAGTCCAGCTCTCACATCCGTAGGTTACTACAGGGAATACCATGGCTTTGACTAGGCGGATCTTTGTTGCCAGTGTGATGTCTCTACTCTTTACTATTTTATCGAGATTGTAGCTACGATTCCTTATTTCAGACATACATCACTGCCAACACTTCACAGAGGAATTTAAGGTATATTCTGTACCAATGTGTGGCCAAGCAACATCAGTGCGAGCAGAGGTTATTAATGAGAAAGAATTTGTAAGCTAGGAGAGGCTGCAATAGTTTGTTTTTCTTTGAGCCCACTGGGAAGCACAAGAATTCACTCTTTTGTCTCCCTTCTATTGAGTTAATTGAGTGCAAACCTTAAACTCAACTTTCAGTAACTGAAATGAGATCAGGACAAAGGAGAAAAATAAAGAGAGAAACTGGAGCGTTTTAAAAGTAGCACAAAAAGTGGGATGACAGAGGATTAACTGGACTGTCTTTGCTAAATTGGGACAATTGGAGGATATGACACATAAGACAGCTTAGTTTTTTGACCCACAAACACATACAAGATTATAAAATAATATATTATCATCTACCCCACCAAGACAAAGCAGGTACTCACTCATGTCAACCCTCCCAAAGTCCACAAATATTTTCAGTGCTGCAGAGCCAAGCAAATAGCCAAAAGCCGGGCCAAACACTGCGATGGAAAATAAGAATGCTGAAAAAGAAAGAGAGAAGATAGTGGATTACAAAATGTGTGGGGATTGCATATTTGATTCTGATGCAATCTTTTATCATCCTAAAGTTCCTGCACTGGAGTGTGGATTCTGGGAGTAATTTTCTCAGGATGTGAACCTAAAGAATCAAAAACTAAAGAATTATTGTTATTGTTTGTTACTACGCAAGAAATGTAAGGAATGTTTAAGCAAGTCAGAAAAACAATACTTCTATTGAATTGAAAGCTTATTTATCAAGAGGAAGTGTCTGCCATTCCAAAAGATCCCAGAAATCTTATTGAAATACAGATGGGACTAATGTTCCACTCAACACACTTTAAACTTATCAAATTGTGTGATTCAAAAATACAGAGACAGAAGCTATACAATTCATAATGAAACAATCAGAAAAATACTTCTCAATGGTTTTCAAAATTTAATGCTTCTTAACATACAATTTTACTTACTTGTTTACTTAATGTTGAGTTGCAAAGTATATACTTTCTGTCACAAATAAGATTCTACTGGAATCTATCTATCTAGAACCGGTATGGGCAAACCCAGGCTCAGGGGCCGCATGCAGCCCCTTGGGTTCTCTTCTCAGGCCCTCTCTCTCACACACACCATCCTATCCTTCTTTCCTTTTCTATTTCCTTCCTCCTTTCTTCCTCACCTCCCTCTTTCTCCCTCCCTCCCTCTTTCGTTTCCCCTCTCCCCTTCCCTTTCTTTTGCTCCTTCCTTCACTTTTGTCTTTCCTTCCTTTGCTCTTTCCTCCCCCCATTCTCTCTCTCCATTCCCTTCCACCTTTCCTTCTTTCAATAATTCTATTCCTTCCTTCTCTTTTTCCTTCCTCCTTTCCTCCTGGGAGATGTTTAGCTGTCCCATTGAGGAGGACTTTCTGCTACTCTAGAGACCATTGCATTAGGGAGCAATGGGTTCAAATGGCAGGGAAAGAGATTCGACCAAAAACAAGAGCTTCCTGGGAGTAAGAGCTGTTGGAGAGTGGTGGAGTTTCCTTCTCTGGAGGCTTTTCTGCAGAGGCTGTCTATTGGGACTGCTTTGATTGTGCCTTCTTGCTTGGCAGGGGAGTTGGACTGGATGACCCTTGGGGGGTCTCTTCCTGCTCTAGGATTCCAGGATTCTGTATCAGGAGTAGGCAATACGGGGTCTAACTGATACACTTTTTCTCCCCCATCAATCATCTAATCCTGACCAAGTCTAACCCTTTGGGCATCCAAATGTTTCCTGTCTTTCCTTCACTTTCTGCCTCCGAAAGAGAAGAGGAAGGGGAGGAAAGGGCAGGGAGGGGGCTTGGGGAGAACCCCCAGCCCATCCGGCCCACCATGTGGCCCACATGTTAGAAAATTTGCCCATGCCTGATCTAGAATCATATGGACACTCATCTGGTGAAGTGGACTGGAGTCCTTAAAAGCCTATGACAGAATTTTCCCTTTTTTCTCAAAGATGCTGCAGGTTTTCTCTATATCCTTTAAAGCTGAAACAAACTAATGCGTCCATATTTTTGAGTCTTTTTTTTTTTTGACGGCAACACATAGAATCCTCAGGGTTGTGTCATCATGCTGGAATTATTAATTATTGTCCACATAGTAACTTTTCTAAATTCTGAAACTGTCTCTAGATTGCCCTAGGACTAAGCCCCACAGTGGAAAGACATTGGATTTTTGTCATGAGGAGGGAAATTGCTTCTTCCTTTTTAAAGAACAATTCTGGCTGGAAAAGATGCAATTCCATTTCTCAACTGCCAAATACAAAGCTTTTTGATTACTGAAGAGTTGCTAATCCTTTGTTTGTAAAGTAGCAACAGAACAATGGATCAGGAATGAAGAGCCCTATCTGTGCCAGAGAAAGAGGCTACGTTATCCTTTTATACTTATGTTGGAATCTGGACTTGCACTTGACAGAACCCACTTCACTGGACGTCTGATTAGCTTTTCAGAACAGAAATAGAGAACCGCTGCCATCGACATGTCAAGGACTATTGAAAAAAGCTTGATATTCCCTGTACTGAAATAAAGTAACATTAGGACTTAAAGAACCAAGTAACTATGTGATCCATTAATAAAATACAAAATGCAGAAGTGGGGATATCTTTAATAGGACTACTAAAATGTCTCTAAAGTGGCACCACTTTTGTGATGTTTTAGTGGTCCTCATTGATGTATTACCCAGCTATTACTTTTATCAATGTGGCCGATGTGTGTGTGTATGGATCAAATGAAAAGGGGTTTAAGGACAGAGAAACAGGAGAAGATAATTCGAACTTAGAATAGAAGATATGAATAGAAGTTCTGTCTGTTTATGTTCCCTGGTTTTGCACATAAATACCCATTATTTATGTTTATGTTTATTGTTTAGGGCTCCCTGGTGGCACAGTGGGTTAAGCCACTGAGCTGCTGGTGTTGCTGACTGAAAGGTCAGTGGTTCGAATCCATGGAGCAGGGTGAGCTCCTGTGGTTAGCCCCAGCTTCTGCTATTCTAGCACTTCAAAACATGGAAATGTGAGTACATCAATAGGTACTGCTTTTGCGGGAAGGTAATGGCACTTCATTCAGTCATGCCGGCCACATGACCTTGGAGGTGTCTACGGACAATGCCGGGTCTTCGGCTGAGCACCACCTTCCAGAGTCGGACATGACCAGACTTAATGTCAAGGGGAAACCTTTACCTTTACCTACCCATTATACATTACACAGACCAACCAAAAATCAGTGTCTTAGTTTTTAGGTCTGTTCCTGGGGTTATTATCTCTCCCTTTGGGGGAGATAAAGTGGGGTAAAAATAAATACAATAATTATAATAATAATTATTATTTGGGGCACTGATTTAGAAAATTGCATTGGATATACAGCATGAATTCCAGTTTCTTAGATATGATGTCTTGAATGACTGGAAAGTTTGTATCATAAATCTATTATTTTGGTTTATAATAAGTAGATTTTCATGTAGTACACTTTCTTTGTAATTTTAATACGTTTCCTTCATGCTTAAAAGGTATTAATTTAAACATTACATTACAATATCCTGATTTTTCAATGGGTAAGCTGAGTGATGACTGGCAGACAACATATGTTTTGTATCTCAAAACACAGAACTTATATGAGATTTTTGAGAAAAAGCAGGTCTAACATTCAGGCTCAGTAAAGGGTAGATGGCATTTGTGTATCACATGTCTCACCTAATGTCAATCAAGCCCTTTCAGTGGAAACCACTTACCTATGTACAAGGGAGAATTGTTTGGTTCAGCAAAGTCATCAACGTAGGAGATGCCAAAGGGTTGGATGGGGATTGTCCCAATTCCTGCCAGCAGTTGAGCAACTACCATTATTGACCACATGATGCCACTTTCTGACTGGGTTTTCATGGTGCCATTTGAACATTTATAATCACCATTGCAGATCTCAGTGCTGGTGCTGTTGGTGTGGCTGTTAACTGAAACAAGAGAATGCAACAATTCAAGAAAAATGTGTGAAAACCCACGGATGGTTAGGCTTAAGTCTTTTCTCTGAGCCAGTCCTGCCAAGATTATTTTTCTTTGGAAATGAAAGGGATCACACATCTCTACAGAAATGGAAGAACATCCAACATGAGAGTCAGTCAGCAAATAAGTTACTCCTGAAAACCCACTTGTGCCCCAAGTCAAGCTCAAGTCTTTCCCATTATTCACTGGGTGAAATCCAGGTATGGAGGAGTCTGGGAGAAGCCAGATTCCTCTATGACAGTGGTTCTCAACCTGAGGTCCCCAGATGTTTTTGGCCTTCAACTCCCAGAAATCCTAACAGCTGCTAAACTGGCTGGGATTTCTGGGAGTTGTAGGCCAAAAACATCTGGGGACACCAGGTTGAGAACCACTGCTCTATGAGTTTGTCTATGCATCTCTTTGAAGCCACAATGAGCAAAGGAACATTTTAACAATAGTGGCAATGAGAAACAGACCCCCCCCCCCCCCAAACAATGTGCGTTGTGCTTTGGATCTTGGCCAGGTTTTTTTTTATCATGTCAGAAGTGACTTGAGAACTGCAAGTCACTTCTGGTATGAGAGAATTGGCTGTCTATAAAGACGCTGGCCAAGAGATGCACGGAAGTGTTACCATCCTTCTGGGACGCTTATCTCATGTTCCCACAAGCTAGAGCTGACAGATGGGAGCTCACCCCATCTTGTGGATTCGAATTGGTGACATTTCAGGTCAGCAACCCAATCTTCAGGTGAGCAATCCTAACAGCTGGGAAACTGGCTGGGATTTATGGGAGTTGTAGGCCAAAACACCTGGGGACCCACAGGTTAACCCATTGCACCACTGCGGCTCCATCCTGGCCAGTGTCTTCTTGCTAGCAAAGCCTTACCATTCCTTATGGAACTTGTGCATCTCCAAAATCAAAGCTGAGCTAAACCCTCCCCAATGAAAGGCATATTTAAGCTCATTGCTCATTCTTGGGTGCTGGAGACCCGCCAGAACGGTAAACTTCCTCAATTTAATTAGCAGTTGTCATCACCTTTTGCTTTCAAGGTATTACCAGAGCACTGCTTAAAGCGATATATTCCGAAAGGGCTACGAACACAAATGCATCACTGTATTTTTTTCTGCAGGAGGAGTGAAAAAGACATCAAACACACACTGGGTAATTACTGGAGGAGGCATAGCTACGGTTTGTCCAGGATTCCTATGTACTTTCAAATCATCCATCAGCTTTAACACTGAACAAGATGTTCATGGGAGAACCATGAAATCCATTCCGATATGTTAATCAAAGTACTTGGAGTTCCTACTAGAGTGAACAAAACAATGTTTAAAAACCCAAGGGAAGCTCAAACCTCCCATTCAATACAGAATTAAAACAAATGACAATGTCCTTGCCATACATACCAGCACTCCCACATCTTCCACATTATTTGTTCACTTTTGCAATTGTTCCTATATTCCCATCAACTCACGGCACTTAATGAGTGGCCTTGCAGGCTTGTGGTACTTTAATAGCAAAATGTCCACCAGGTAATTTAAGGGTTCCAGTCACTATAATATCACATTCTATATGTAATAACACACGTTCTTGTTAATGGTCATCATAATAGCATGAGGTTGGAATATACTTTCAGCAGCAGGGGCTTTCTTAATCATCTTAGACTTACTTTTATACATTCACACTGCCAAAGGGGCCACTTTAGAGATACATCTCCCTGCCAAAGGATAATTTTAATAACTGAATTGGTTTAGGGCAAATGAGAAGTGAAATGCCAAGTAAACCAACTTCATTTGGTTTACGTAAATGCTCCCAATTCTGGTGTTCCTTCATTTACTAATGAGATGCCAAGCAAATCAGGGAAGAACATATTGGAAACTGACACAGCTTTGGAATTTCCTGCCCTGGAGCACATACACACAAAGCTGAGGTAAGATGGGCCTTCAGTTAAGTATATGGTGAGATGAAAATTGGTCTGCATATCAAGACATGAAATGACAACGGGGCTCTTGATAGAAACAACAGATCAATTTAATTTCGCTGTGTTTGCTGAGGTAAAGCTAAAAAAGTCACCAATTAAGAATGCCTTTGTCTTTATCTAGTTGCTTTGTCCAACTAGGGATGTATTGGGAGTTATCACCACAAATCCAAAGGAGCCTCCAGTCGTGCAATGGGTTAAACCCTTGTGCTGGCAGGACTGCTGATCAAAAGGTTGGTGGTTCAAATCCGCAGAGCAGGGACATGAGAGAAGCCCCCCACAGGATGGTAAAACATCTGAGCTTCTCCTGGGCAATGTCCTTGCAGACAGACAATTCTCTCCCACCAGAAGCAACTTGTAGTTTCTCAAGTCACTCCTGACATGAAAAAACAAAGTCCAAACCTCAAACCACTTCCTGAAATGATCTTTAAAATAATCTGTGCTGATTTGGATGACGATTTTAACCTGGCAAACTTTTTAAATGTATATTTATAACTGTTTTAATGTATATGGTTGTATTTTATGATATGTTTTATATTGTTTCGGCACTGAATGGTTGCCTGTTGGAAGCTGTCCTGAGTCCCTCTTTGGAGGTGGAGAAGGACGGGGTATAAATGTTTTAAATAAATAAATAAATAATTTCTAATATAATTGGCTCTCTGTAATTTATGATTTTGTGTCCACATAATCAACCATCCACAGCTGGCAAATACCTCCCCCCCCTAAATATATATATATATATATATATATATATATATATATATATATATATAAAGCAAGCCTTGCTATTACTATTTTATAGAAGGAAGATATATTCTATTATACCATTTTATATAATGGAAAAAGCATCCATGGATTTTGATATCCACGGGGGATACTAAGGACCAATAGTAATTGCACCCCACTGTGACATCTGAAATATTTATAAAGAAGAAAGAATATGAATATTTACAAAGAATATGACCATCCCTTGGACACCACTTCTTTGTTCTACAATCCAAGCGTAGCATTACATTTGAAGCACATACCACAGACCTGGTTATTCAGTCTGTACCTTCAGACTTTGCCTAGTATACAGAATTTGTTGCCATCATTTCTGGCCTTATTTTTGGCTTCTCCAACATTTCTCATAATTTCCTGATTTTAGTAATATTAGCCCACATGATCAAGAATTGTCTACACTGTAAGTGTCTACACTTTTTTGTGACATTTTTCTTTGTCCTAAAGCTCAGTCTGTTGGAAGATTTTATTTTTCTTCATGAACCAACATGAGAATAACTTTTGCCTTCCACAGAAACATACAAAAACTCTGCTGCTTTTCTGTTAAAAGATAGGCCTCCATTGTATTATTAGTCTGCTATTAACGTGTTTATAACCACTGATCTTACTTTCGCTCAGATTCCAAGGAATTAAAGCCAGAATCCCCTGTAAACCCTGCTTCTATACCTTTAGGAACTGTAAATATGAATAAGATGTTTGGAGGTTGTGGGGGTGGGATGACCCTCTGCTCCAGAAATTTCCACATTTGGTTTGTGGATGATGCAGTTCTATGTTTGCTAGAAACTTCAGACAGCTTGATTTATCCATTTTTCTGGGGAAATAGAGGATATTTCCCAGCTCACTTGCTGGATACAATATTAATAAATATCATGCCAGCAGAATTCCCATTAAATTTATTTTTATTTATCGTATCAGAAGCAAACCAGGGGTACAGTTGTAATGTATTAAAAATGTCCTTTGACCAGTAGCTGGCCACTTGGAGTGCCACTGGTTTTGCTATAAGGAGGTCCTCCATTGTGCATGTGGCAGGGCTCAGACTGCATTGTAATCAGTGGTATGTTGGGCAACTTGCCATTACATGGTTATACCTTATGATGAGAAGAACCTGAAGGAAGGATATGTCTCTACCAAACCAACTTGGGTAAACGCCCATCATGTTTTTGCATCTCTGCACAACTCTTTGTGATTGGATAAATTGGCAAATACCAGAAGCAACTTTTTCTGCCAACCAAGAAATCTAGGCTGTTTTGAGGCTGATGTGACCATTTCAGCACTTGAAAGGATTAGATGAGACAGCATTGTATAGTGGTTTGAAATATGGGCCAGGATTGAAATTACCATTTTATCGGGGACAATGTGAAGCTGATGTGTGCATGTCAGCCTCAAATTGGCCCAAATATACTAATTGGCCGGAAGAGAAGAGACAGTGTTGTGTAGTGGTTGAGGTTTGGAAAACCACTTACAGGAAAGCAATGCCAAACTTTTCACCAAAGAGGTCTTACACAAAAAACCCCACAAAAACCAAAATCCTGGAAGAAGGTTATTAGAAGACAACACTGACTTGAGGGCACATAACATGAGGCAGCTTTACCGATATTCAAAATAAAATAACTGAAAAACCTAAGAGGAAAATCTTCACCACTCCCTTTTTGTGCTATAGGGATGTGGCAGGGGAAGACGTATTTATGGTGGAGTGATATACAGCTCCATCATCAGATGGGGTCTTGCATGCTTTGGTGGCGTCAGAGGAGACTGGCACTTCCAAAGGGGCAATTCAATACAAAACAGCATGCATTAACACCAGACGTGAACCAAAACATTCATTGCCTCTGGTTTCCCTGGCACTGATTCAGCTTGGCACGCCCATGACAGGCAAGTCATTGCACAGAGACCACAGCATGCCTTAAGGGATGATGGAAGCCAGGATGGCTAAGCGCCAAGTGACTTTAATGTGCAACTGCATTCGTATTTATCAGATAAGTACAAGTCACCTATCTCACAGGATCTGGCAAGAGTACATCATAAGTACTTAGAAGAACCTTACCTAAGAACTCTCAAGAGTGGAGCAGATGCCTGTAGTTGTATCAGAGGGGACTGTAATGGTCCAAGCGTATTTATGTTTCACTATTTTACATAAGATGCTTTGGGAATCCTTATGGGTTATAGGTGGGGCAGAAATCCATACAAAATGTAGTTTATCACAGCCTCAATGAAGATTTGAGGCACAGGCAATATTTGAGGGCATAAAAAAGAGAGGTACGTACTGATGACTGTTCGAGAGTATTCATATGGGGCTGAGACAAAATGTGGAAGTGTCAGAAGGAAGGCTGCCAGAGCCAACAGAAGGCCTCCCAGACCAATGATCCGAGGGCGATGAACTCGGTTGCCGAAGTAGCTCACAAAGATGATGAGGACAACATTGCTGATCTGTGGAGATACAAAAGTGCACAGATTAAAACCCCAAAACAGACCTCAGAGAGCAGACTGGACAAAGACTTTAGTTGCATCTTTGCTTTTATTTCTTCAGTTTTCTTATTCTGAAGAATCTGTCTCCTCCTTCATGTATTATGTTCTGCTCAGGACCATTTCCTTAAACCAATGTTCAAAGCTTACTCTAAATCTTTCTTAGAAAGATGCCGACTTCCACATTTGAAAGGGGAGGTAGTACAACCACAACAATTCCTTGTCATATGGAGAAAAGGGGGACCTAGTTCAATATGGCCTACAGTTAACACAGAAGAGGCAATATCTCATCATCTTGTTGAAGATTGGAATATTTTTATATATGAGAGGTGTGGAAGAGTACCTTGGCCCTCTTTATGATCCGTGAGTTTTGCGTTATTCACTTGCCCTCCAAAGTGAGGTCTCTTCAGACTATTGCAAAGAATCAAAATGATGAAAACAGAAACAGCTCAGAGGGCACTGTGTACAAAAGGAGAGTGAATACCTGCAGCTTGGTTTTCTGGGGCAAATCAGCATCCTCTTCCTCCCATGATCCACTGAAAACTTGTCACAACATCAAGTGACAACCATGGCAGAAAAAAGTAGAAGCATGCACATTTGGGCAGCAAGGAAAGAGGACATCATTAAGTGAATGATAAATGATGGCAGGTTGTTGCAAAAACAAAAAATAACACATTCATATATAACCAGAGTACTCAACATTTTTCTGGTTTGTGACTGAATTAATGAAGGCACTTGTTCTAAATTGCTTCAAAAGTGTTATCTATGGTATGACCTGGCTATTGAATCTGCAAAGACTGATACTCATGCAAGTTGTAGTGGATAAACTAGGACCATGGATAACAGGATCCTTGCCCATTGAGCATATGCTCAACCAAATGGGCCAGAATAGAGCAACTCACCAGGTTGAAGACAAACCACAGAGATTTAATTCAACTGGTCCATAAGGTATGCAAGTACAAGCAGGATGCTTCAAAGGCACAAGCCTGACCATACAGAGAAAGAAAGATGTCTTGTATAGTTTGACAGCTATTCAAAACTCCGACTCCCTTCCCTGATTGACTGAGAGAGGGGCCAATCAGGATCCACACCCTGATTGGCCGGGAGTTCCGCTGACATCACTGCTTCCAGGTGGGGATTCCCTTTCACGGAGAATGACAGAGATCTAAGAGTGCGTTGCATCGGCTGATTGGCCGGACAAGGGACCAATCAGCTGATGCAACACACTCTTGAAGGAGGCATAATTTAGAGAGACAATGTTAGTGAAATGTTAATGAGATTTTGATTAGCTTAACTGTACAGTTCTGTGTTGAACAAAGACAGGAGCATCTGAAAACAAAGGAGTGAGACTCCAGGAACAAAAGGCGGTGATCTTGGGCAATTAAGATTTTAGCTGTCAATAAAGAGGTTTAACAAATGCACAAACTCATTACACAAACATTTTGGGGTTTATCTGGGCTGACATGGGCAGTCATTTATCATTGCATACACATAGACAATGGAATTGGTGATCACAGGGCTTGGGAAACGGCCAAAGGGGCTTACCCAAACTTTCTTTTTCCAGGGGACTATCTTAGCAAGATCATGGAGAGTTGACTAGGCTATGTCTTGATACATTTTATAAAGCAGTTTATACATTTTATATACACAAGAAATAGATACACAGAAAGATACAAGGTACAAAGAACATCATTTGTTAAAGGGTTAGAAATGATAAATCTTGATGTGTGTGTGTGTGTGTGTGAAGCTGCCGCTGGTCCGCTCCCAGTCTCCTCATGCATTGAAGCTGCAGAAGTCCAAAAAAGGTTTGTTTGTTTTTTTTTTAAAAAGGGGGGGGGGTCATATATTTATTACAGAGTTCTTGGTAAACTATCAATCTTTTTTTGGGGGGGGGTATTGTGGCTCAACATAAAGTTACTGCTTGGTGTTTTAGCAACCAAGAAATGAGTATGTATGTAATATGCATACAGACTTCACAGAGGCAATATCAGCGCCCACTGATAGAACAGCTCTTGTGTTTTTATGCTAGCTCTCTGTGGAAATCAAAGTTTCATTTTAAACGATTTCCATTGGTAGTTAGGAATCCATTTAATGTCCCCATCCTTATGATCCATTGTTATCAAATCCTTGCTATTGAGGATGATTTTATTCACCTTCCATGTATAAACCTTTCAAAGCGAACAAGATTGCTCAAGGAACGTTTGTTTTTTACATTGTGCTTTTGCATACAAAAGTGGGAACACAGTTCAGTTGAGGATTCTCACTTGCATCAAATAAAGATATGCACCACATGCAGAGGTGGCCCTAGGTAATTTTCAATGGTAAGCAAGCAGTATTTTGCCCCCCCCCCCAACCAATCATTGATATATATATTTTCTGTTCATCATGCGAGTTCTGTGTGCCATATTTGGTTCAGTTCCATCATTGGTGGTGTTCAGAATGCTCTTTGATTTTAGATGAACTATACATCCCAGTAACTACAACTCGCATATGTCAAGGTCTAGTTTTCCCCAAGAGTGCCCCTGGGCAAAATCAACTATACGGCGAATGCTTACTTTGCGTAATGGGTTGAGCCGCCCCTGACCACATGTATTTCAGCATGTTGAAATTTTATTTCAACTTAATATTTTTGAAGGGTCAGTGTTGCGCAAGAAAATGGACATGTGATTCAAATCATCACTTTTCTGGTGTCTTATTTAAGAACACATGCAGTTGGGAGTATGCAAATTTAATATGAGCCATGTTCCCTGTTTTTGTTTTCCATGGTAAGTCATGGTTACACATAATGGTGGGTTACATAAAGTTGCAATTACACTGACTTACTTCCACATTTGAGATACTTTTATTATTTTAACTTATAGTAATTGTGCTTGGATTTCCTCTTAGATTGTGCCTTCCCTTCCCTTCCATTTTGTGCTGTGGCTTTTGGATTTACTCTAACAAACAAAGAAAACCTCTGTAAACCCCAGAAACAGCCAAGCAGGAGAGCCCAAATTTTTTTAAATGCCCTAGAAGCAAAACCAAATTAATTTGAACAGAATGGCAAATATAGATACTTGAATGTCAGTTGGAATGTATATTAGTAAAATGCCCATGGAAGGAGACCACAGAGGAGTTCCTGTAAAGACTAATCCATTTCCCAAGAACAAGACAACATATTTTGTGCAGCAAAAGTGCTTAGAAAGTTCCTGTGCTACTCCTTCATTCTGAATGGATGTTGAGAGAGCTGGACCGGGGGGTGGGTGGGTATTTAGTTGGTTCCTACTTGTGCTATTGGGACAGAAGCATGCCTTGGGATAAATGTGATAAGCAGGCCCGTAGCCAGGATTTTGTTTCGGGGGGGGGGGGGGGGGGCTGAGTTTCGGGGGGGGGGGCTGAGTCTGAGTAAAAGAGGGTCTAGCCTAGCAAACCTTTTGTATCATTACCCCAATACCCCCATGCATATGGGATATATTGAGTATGGTGATCAGATCATGATATGAATAAACATAACAGTTTAAATAATGCACCAATAAGGCCTTTTCGCGAAGCACCATGAAAATTTTGTGGGGGGCTGAAGCCCCCCGAGCCCCCCCCCTGGCTACATGCCTGGTGATAAGTCAATCTCCTTCTCAATAGGGGCTTCTTTTAACAGTTTTGGAGATAGGGTTTCATCAGACCGGCTCAAGGCTTTTGCATACCAGCTCCATTACCAAGGGTGGACTTAATGATCTATCCCGGCACTATCCTGCCCCTCTAATGCTGACTTCTCTCTGGTGACCTGGAGGATGGGTATACTAGTTAAGAAGCAGGCTGCTCGATGCCTGAATCCATGCTTTATCCTACTCCAGAGGCTGCAAGCTATAACCCATGAAATGCTAGCTTTAGTAGTAGAAATTAGTAGTAGAAAAACAGAAACCGACTTTTTCAATGTCACTGCTGATGGGCCTAAGAGAAATAACCTCAAGAGCAGCAGTATGGAACTCTGAAAATAATAGAATAGAGAAGCCACAGATAGTAACGTTGTGGTCAATCAGGTATATTTCCATTTTGTCCAAGAATCATAGAATCAAAGAGTTGGAAGAGACCTCATGGGCCATCCAGTCCAACCCCCTGCCAAGAAGCAGGAACATTTCATTCAAATCACCCCTGACAGATGGCCATCCAGCCTCTGTTTAAAAGCTTCCAAAGAAGGAGCCTCCACCACACTCCGGGGCAGAGAGTTCCACTGCTGAACGGCTCTCACAGTCAGGAAGTTCTTCCTCATGTTCAAATGGAATCTCCTCTCTTGTAGTTTGAAGCTATTGTTCCGCGTCCTAGTCTCCAGGGAAGCAGAAAACAAGCTTGCTCCCTCCTCCCTGTGGCTTCCTCTCACATATTTATACATGGCTATAATATCTCCTCTCAGCCTTCTCTTCTTCAGGCTAAACTGCCCAGTTCCCTAAGCCGCTCCTCATAGGGCTTGTTCTCCAGACCCTTGATCATTTTAGTCGCCCTCCTCTGGACACATTCCAGGTATCTCATTAGCCTCATTACTGTGGACCTTCTCTATGAAGTGACTTGCACAGCCAATGCAGTTGTGTGCTCCTAGTTTGGAGCATTTGAGGACTGTTAGTGCTGGAGAAAGACAACTCAGAACACTTGGAATTACTAATCTAGAACAGTTTGGGGGAACAAAGTGAAACCAGTCAGAACAGATGGGAAGTTTTGTTAATACAATTGAGCTGTCCTGCTGTTCTCAGTTAATGTGAGGCTTTGGCAAGGTCTTTTCCTTGCAGACATTGCATGAGGCAACACTACCCACCCTGATGATTAACTGTTAGCCCTTGGTTGCTGGTGGCTTTGCTCTTCTTTTTTGTTTCTGGCAGTTCTAAGCTACATGTTTCCTATGCATGTTCATGTGGAACGAATGCTGTTTGCATGTCGAAAGTACACCCTGTGCAAGTGCACCCCTGGTTTTGCTACTTAAAATATCTGTTTTGCACTCCCTCTTCTAGGACAGCTACCATTTGATAGCACTTCTTGCCAGACTCTAGGCGCATTGCCAAAAATCAAAGTTGAAATCAAAACTCTAATTGATTCTGAGTCATGAGGGGCCAAGTTCCAACTTGAATGCTGTTTCAGCAAATGCAGAACAATATTAGAGTTACAGGTACTGCAAAACAATGCCACGTGGGCAAACCACAGTCAAGGACTGCCTGTCATGTGTGGTGGGATCATCACTGGAACTCTGGTATAAAGATGGTTGTTTACATTTTCATGTCCAGTTAAAGCAGGAACACCCAATGATGGACTAGATAGTGAACAGGGCCATACCTGTTTAATCTTACTTTATTTCCATAACCTACATTAATGGGAAACAGGTCTCCACTGTGTTCCTGTCTTTTACTGGTCCTCTGAAGGTTAATAAAATCCTACAATTTGGGATTGTCAAAGCTACTCTTGCTTTGGGACACTCAATTCACCAACGCTATCCTTCTGGAGTACAAGAGTGTGTACTTCAGAGAAAGGACTTAATGGCTGGCTTCCCTGGAGGACATGAAGAGATGCAGAAGTGCTGAGACCTTTTTGGATCTAGCTGAAAGTTCTCCTGTTACACACTGCAATCTGTCTTATAGTCCTTAAGCTATTGGGCTTAGTGTTGGGAAAAGGAGAGCACCTTTACATCTCTCAGAAACAAGAAACCCAAACAAAAAAACCAAAACACAACAACATAAAGACCATTAGGTTGGGTAACATAGAATAAAATGGAGACCTGTAGACAGAGGGTCTTGTGGACTCTAAACAGAGTTTTGTAGCATCACGGAAATACTGTTGCCACTGACTGGGTTCCAACCCAAAGTGACGATGACGACATTCTCTTGGGAAGAAGGATTTCTCATGGGAAACACTGACTGAAGTTGTAATTATGGGGCTACTACAAAAAACATTGCTATAATAAAGCCTATCAGCATGTGTAAAGTGCCAGTCTTAATTGTTGGAATAGGCAGGAAATGTTGTAATGGTCTGACTCACATCTCTGTAACAAATTGGGGGGTTTGCACCTTCTTTTACTATACCATTAGTGGGTATATTACAGCATTACACATCAGGTGCGGTAACACTTCTGAGGGCTGGCAGAAAACCCTTATCTCTTAAATCCATGGGTGTAGCAGGACTCCATTTGTAGGAAGGCACAAAAATGTAGGTCAGGCTTTCCTGTTTTCCAAAGAAATGTATAGATGGCAGGAGGCTCTGAGCCCAAAAATTATTCTTTCACACTTTCCCTTATGCTGGAAAATTATTTATTTATTTATTTACAGTATTTATATTCTGCATCCCTGCAGGGGACTCAGGGCATATTACAGTGCACATATACATGGCAAATATTCAATGCTATAGACACACAACATATATAGACAGATGCACAGAGGTTATTTAACATTCCAGCTTCATGAGGATATACTCGAATTCTGGCTACCAGGGAAGCTGTTGCTTCACCGTCCACTTGTGTCACCAATAGAGTACTTCCTCATTCTTTTGCATGCTACTGGAGATGTTTATAGCATTGTAAATTAGTTAAATTAGCCTCCCCGTATAAAGCAGTACCTAAATTTTCTACTAGACAGATGCAACTGTCTTTCGGGCTGCAAAGGTCGACAGCAAACTAGACAAATGGTTGGGAGCTTATTCTGAACCCGGGCTGACTTTGAACTCATGACCTTTCGGTCAGTAGTGATTTTAATGCAGCTGACTTCCAACCAACTGCTCCACAGCCGGGTCCTGCCCATAGATTCTTGCTATGAGAGGAACCCACTGCGTTTACAAAATGTGACTCTAAAGCTGTTTCCAGCTACCTTCCTTAAAATTGTATTTTCTGAAACAAAGAATAGCTCATTCCTGCATCTGTTTCATGTGCTCTATAATGGGGGCAGCAAAATCAAAAAGGCCTGGCAAGGTATTGGGAAATTTAAGTATCACTGCACTTCTGAGCGCACACAGAGCCTCCTGTGAAATATTACGGGGAAAAATGTCCTGCATACTTTCAAAAGGACAATAACACAGTTATATGCTCTGTTCTAAACAGCAGTAGCGCAGCTTTTCAAAGGCAAACTAGAATTACAGTGTGGGCGACTGAATGACTGTGACCAACATATCAGTCGCATATGAGACTGTCTCTTGTCCATAATTCTCAGCAGCCCTTATCTACCTTATGATGTTGCAATGTTTCGCTGTTACTATTACTTTATGTATTTTATTTGTGATGTATTTGTTGCTTTGTATTTTTGACCTCACGATAGCTGCCCCAAGTTCCCTTTGGGGAGATGATGGCAGGGTATAAATAAAGATTATTATTATTATTATTATTATTATTATTATTATTATTATTGATTGTAAGTCATCCAACATCTAACTTATTTTGGTACAGCTTGGGAAATTTACTTTTCGGGACTGCAGCTCCATTTCTGGGAGTTGTAATGTGAAAAGTAGTATCTATTTATATTCATTTATTTTATTCATTTATATCCTGTTTTTCCTAATGCTGGGACTCAACATGCAAAATACTAATACTTACACAGATTAAAAACATACAAAGTATCAGTTATCCAGCTAACTGTCCATCCACCTTACATTAAAAAACCTCCTCCAGTTAATAATTCAAGAAGTATTCGCTACTTTATCAGTCCTGGATATCTTACAAGGCAAGGGACACACAGAGAAAGAGTGAAAAAACAATTTCCCTCAGCCTTGTATTAAAGATATATGTCTAATGCAATTACCTCATGTAAACTGGAAATGAAGCCAGAGGATAAACTGGAGAGACCAAAACGTTTTTCAATGGTTGTCAGGCTGCTCTTGAAGTAGGCACTGTAGAGGAGCTGGGCAAGCTGTAGAAGTCCATGGCAGAGTACAAACAACTGTCAAAACAATGAGACAGGTTTAGAAACATGATCCAGGTGAGGTCCCAGAAATCAGTAGAACTAGGCTGGAGTCTCCTTCTTTCATTGTTTTTGTGCAAACAAAACCAGGTTCACAAAAGTGAATCTGATGGCCTTAATTAACTGAAAAACAATTTCTGATCTCTAGAAATCTTCTCAGATACTTGCTGAATTCCAGTTCACATAGATGACATATTCAGCTCTCTGCTAAAAACATAATATACTCCAAAGTAGACGTTGTGGCAATATCTTTGTTCACCCAACCAGGAGTCACAACATTCATACTGAAAGTGAAATGGAAGTTTCCTGTTAATCCAGGAGCTCAGTTGTTAATGCTGAAATTTCCCATCCTATAGCTATTACCAGAGAAGATCCAAATATTGTGACAGGCACTATAAAGAAGTTGGAGAAATCTTTTCCTTTTGTGATTTAAACAATGATTGACTGGCAGGTTTACACAAATGAATGAACATTAGAGAGAACATACATTGTGGGCATTGAAGGCACTACCTTCAGATTGACAAAAACCATCTCTTACCAATTATCAGCTCAGCTACTGTTTGACACAGGGATCATGTCTTCACTGCCTGCTTTTAAAATAGTTGCTTGTCAAAACAAGCAAAAGTAGAAATTTGGCACTAAGAACAAGTGTGATCTGCAACAAAATATTTCTGCAGAGAGAGCTCCTCTTTAGTGTACCCCCTAGTTGGTTAAGCATACCCTTTCGCAAAATATTCTCTTTCCTTCCCAACTCTCTTCCCGTTCTATCAAGACCTCTCTTCTATTTCCATTCTCCCTGCATTCAACATCCAATGGCTACAGATCACACACACTCCTCACTGGGTTACTTTGGATTTTTGCAGAGACCAAAGCTAAGACGTAATTCAACTGTCAACAAAAGTAAAGCAATATTAATAAATACTAAATTGTAAGCTGTGTTGCATTTCCCCCCAAGCATAATCATGCCACTCTTTTGTTTCTTGTGGACTAGTGAAAAATGTGGACTAGTGAAAACATAACTTGAATATCATTAAATTGCATTGGACAGATTAATGGATGATAGGGCCATCAATTATGACTAATCAGGCTGGCTATATATCACATAAAAACATCCTATGGATCAGAAAGTAAAGTTATCATGATCTCAGTCACAAAGGTGGAAAATTTCAGAGTCTGAAATTCCACACAGCGGATTCTTAACACGGTAACCCATAGCACATCACATTGGTTGGAGATAGCTCTTGCAGCAGAATACAGAGACTGAGGAAGAGCAAACTCTTTGTGATTGTCCCAAAAATATTGGACCAGAATTACCAGAACCTCTCTCTGTCTATGGTTCTTAACCTTTATTGGCTCATGGATCTTTTTGAGAATCTAACAAAAGCTACTGACCTCCTCAGAAAAATGGCACTTGAACACAATTTCCAGAGTAACAGGAAGGAAATCAAATTGGGTAAAAGGTTTTCCCTCCAAAGCCTTTTAGTGGATCAGAGAACATAAGGTAAGAAAGCTGTTCTATGCTCTTCCTTACTCACTGATGGCCCAGTTCTTAACTCCCCTTTGGAGATGGTTTGTCCTTGTTGGAGAGACTCTAATTGTAGCATCACTTTGAGCCCTAGTGCTAGGTTAACAAACCCTAACAAAAAGTGATTGCATTCAAATGATAAATGTAACAAGGAACTGAGTTCCTTGTCCCTTTTCCACCAACAAGGCTGACAACAACATTTTGTACTTGTACTATTTGGGGCTTCCTATTTTCTTCTTTTTTATTTAACAGCATGCCATTTTTGTTTATGCAATGAGAATTTTAAAAAAACCAGTTCCTCAGCCACAGCCACCACTGGAACATTCCTTCCTTTTCTGCAATCCTTAACTCAGCTAATATTCACCAAATAAGACAGAAAGGCACGGAGGGAGGAAAATTAGAGAAGCAGCAAGTGCAAGCAGATGATATCTATTCAATGGCACAGCAGTTTCAGAACTTGCCCCAAAAGCAGAAAGCAAGGCAGAATGTCTTTCTCAGTATGTTTTATCTGATCTAGACCTACTTGTAAGTAAGTAAGGGCCAACAGTGGAGGTGATTGCCAAGTAAGCAAGGAGAAGATTATAGCCCGACACTGTAAGGAATTTCAATACATTCTAAGGCACAGCAGGTTGTTCTCGATTTTGATCTATATATAGTGAGCTTCCATTTTTCTGAGGAAATGGGATGTCTTCTAACTCTATATATAGCGTGTCAAAGACAAGCAGGAAAAGGAACAGATGTTAATTTGAAGAAAAGCTAAAGTCTGCGACTCAAAAGGCAGTGCAAAACAGGACTCTTGCCTCCAAAAACAAACATAAAAAAACCCAAGCAAGAAACAAAAACATAGTTGCTGAAATTATTCAGGAAGCTTGGACAGAAAAACACATATTGCGATGCTGACTGATGGATATTGGGAAGAAAATCAAAGTATTTCAGAAATCTGGACCTGGGCCAAACAAGCAGGTGTTGATGTTTCATAACCATGTCAAAACCAGTGTTGGTATATGTCCTTGGAATCCAAATTGCAAATGCAATAAGGCAATTAAGTAATGGGTTGTTGTAAGTTTTTTGGACTGTATGGCCATGTTTCAGAAGCATTCTCTCCTGACATTTTGCCTGCATCTATGACAGGCATCCTCAGAGGTTGTGAAGTCTCTAAGGATGCCTGCCATAGATGCAGGCAAAACGTCAGGAGAGAATGCTTCTGGAACATGGCCATACAGCCTGGATAACTAACAACAAACCAGTGATTCCAGCTATGAATGCCTTCCATAATACAATGAAGTAATGTTCAGCATGGTCCTTTCTATCTGAATAGTAAAATTACTGTATATACTCAAGTATAAGACTAGTTTTTCAGCCCTGTTTTTTAGGCTTAAAAAGCCCCCTCAGCTTATACTCAAGTCAAGATTATTTATTATTTTGCTGTGTTGTTGTTTTATTTTACTCTCTTTATTATTATTGGAAGGATACGTAAGCACATTTACATTGAAGAAGGTTAGAATAATGGTATAATCAGAGTTGGACAGTCTTATCTTACAGTTTTATGTAAATATTCAAAAATATTTAACCTACTGGTGCCTCAATTAATGTAATTTTATTTGTATCTATATTTATTTTGAAATTTACCAGTACCTGCTCCATTTCCCACCTTTGGCCTATACTCAAGTCAATAAGTTTTCCTAGTTTTTGTGGTAAAATTAGGGGCCTCAGCTTATATTCAGGCTGAATTATACTCAAGTATATACCTAGTTATCCTACTAAAACTAGTTTTGGGCTTTTTTTTTTAGTATAGATGTAAGGATAAGGAGGGGAAAACACCACCTTTTACTGGTAAAAACAACCCAAAAGTCAAAATAAACTTCAGAGATGGTCATTTAAAAAGCAGTACATAAATGATATGAACATTTATGTTCACTAGAACTCTTCATCAAGTGTGATTGTATTAAAATTCTGGGGCAAGAAAGAAAAAAAGTCAATCTGCAGGATGAATTGACCAATGTGTATGTAGTTTAAAATCATAAGTTGGAAGAGATCACAAGGACCGCTCAGTCATTTGATTCTACTGTTTTATGTCCTAATCTCTGGAGCAGCAGAAAACAAACTTGCTGTCTCTTTGATATGACATATTTTTAAAATTTTAAATATGGCATTTTTGTGATTTATTTATTAATTAATATAAAAGTTCACCATAACCTTCAAACAACACAACGTATTACAGACATACATACTCTCAACACTTCTATATCCCACACAAAATAAAGGTATTCAAATGCTTCCAAAAACATATTTGTCTCCATCTTGTACAATAGATAAAGGTAAAGCTAAGTCCAGTCATGTCCGATTCTGGGGGTTGGTGCTCATCTCCATTTCTAAGCCAAAGAGCCAGCATGGTCTGTAGACACTTCCAAGGTCATGTGGCCAGCATGACTGCATAGAGTACCCTTACCTTCCCACTGGAGCAGTACCTATTGATCTACTCACATTTGCATGTTTTCGAACTTGCTAGGTTGGCAGAAGCTGTGGCTAACAGCGGGAGCTCATGCTGCTCCCCAGATTCAAACCTGTGACCTTTCGATCAGCAAGTTTAGCAACAAAATAAGTTGCTAAACCCTTTGCAGAAAATCTAAGAAATCATCAACATCTGTTTCTACTGATACAAACCAGTACATTTCCAATGTACCTGTATTTCTCCATCAGCACCATAAGTTGCAGAGCAATGTTGGTGAATTTCCCGAACTACACAAAAGAAAACAGAAATGCTTTGAAATGCTTACAATCATAGGAGATGTTAAGAAGTCAAAACAGGACACTCAGAAATGGTAAAAGAAATACTGTGGCGTCAGTGAAGCATCTCTACCATGTCACAGCCTGTGACCTGCATACACTTTAGAGCCAGACCTCCAAGCAGGGTCATGTTTTCTTGATGTCAACTTCAGACATATTTCAACATGTTGTAAAAGAAGCTCAAAAACTGAGACAGGCACCCATCACTCTACACATCCCTCTGTGCTTTCGTCAGTCTCTTGATAATCACCTCAATGTTTATTTTAATGAAGCTTGAATGATTATGACTGCAGGCTGTTTATATAAACCGCTTAGCTCTTTTCCAAGCCACAATTTACTCTGAAAATGGGAGAGGCTACACAAACATCTTTCTTAGCATTTCAGCACATAGCTCTTGGAATACTTTGGTTTGGGGAAAAGAAATCAGTCTGGCAGAGGTTCCTTTTTTTTTTTTTTTGGCTTTCATCTCCCAGAACAGAAGACCAAAGGTCATGCTGGATATGGCTGATGATACTCCAGTTGCCAATCAATCCTTTTAGTTCACTGAAACAAAGAGCAGCAGCCAAAGAACTATATGGTGGAAGGGCAGGTGTGTGAGCACAGATGACCACTCAAAAAACTATTGTTACGCATAAGTAAGCCTTTCTTCTTCATGACCTCTATGGGC